ATCGCGGAGACAACGCACGTTGTCTCCGCGATATTGCCATTGACTATAACGTGTATTCACTTCCGGGTTTATCGAGGGAATTGCCAACCATAATTTCAGTCACTTTTTCGTTCGTGCGCGGAGATGTTACGCGATGTAACCATGGTTTGGACTGAGCGGAGCGCACGCCTCCTAATTAGCTGATCCACCAAATAGCGAGAAGGGTATTTTTAAACTGTTATCAGTTGTGATCCCTGGGGCTAGCGAAAATATAATCACATAGAATTGTTCCTTAGGACTGGGACTACTTATCGATCGGGGCGTCATATCTCAAAAGTGACAAACCTCAGAGTTAGCCAGGACACAATGTTTAAATTGCTGTTTTGACCAAGATATTTTTAGAATTTCGGGGGCTACGCCCCTTTGGAATATTGGAATTCACCTGCTCTTTCATATGACACCTCATTCATTGATTATCACCTTCAGGATCACAACTGATAAAGGTTTGAATCTCGATTTGAAAAAAAAAATTGACTTTTTTTGCATGGTCGCGCAATGCACGTAGGCTGCATAGGGATGCGTGTAATCTCTATGGGAAGAATTTTAGCACACAACATCGGGTGCGCGATCAGACACCCTACTAGAACATATAAAATCAAACACCAAAAAAATCCATTGGGCAAATGGATAAGGAGCATGAAGAAATCTACAAAAATTAAATATCAATTTACTAGACCTATTTTTCAGGATTTTTAAAACAAAACAAAAGCTCCAAACAATTTCAATAATAATATGTGGAAATAAATGCTGGAACAAAGAATTCAAATGCTGGATTTTGTAATAAGTGGCCGAAAAAACACTTCTTTACTCTAAATTCAGGGGGTATTTGAGTTGTTTTTGGCCAGCCCACTCTCGTATTAATTTGGTTTTAATAAAAGCTGAAAAAAGAAAGGAACAGGCAAGTAAAACTTTAAATTGAAGCTAAACCTGATTAAATTAAATCAAGTTATGAATTTTTTAAGTTGCCAGCAATCAAACATAAATTGGCACATTTGACAGGTGACATATCTTGCAAGGTCCCTTCCCATTGTAGACTAGATGTAGAATCTACTGAAGAATGATTTTAATAATACGTATTAGGAGCCTCTCAAAAGCCAATTAGCCTGTGGTGAAACTTAGTTATTCCTTCCATCGACTACATCTAATTATATGCCTACACAGTACACTCTACAGACAGCCGAGCGCACCAACCAACCCGTGCGGGTATTGCACAATATGTTGACAAATCTCTTCTAAATTGCGGCAAAGAGCCACAAGATTTAGGGGAAATGACATGGAAATAGGTACACACAATTGGGATAAAACTTTGAAGAGTGAAAAAAGTGTGCTCCCTACGATGTCGTTTTGCTAAAACTTAGCTTTGCCTTTGCTATATAACTTCGCTTTGTACACACCAGGCGCGGCCATTATGTGTGTGCACATATTGATGCATGCGAATGAATGACCCGATGGTTACACGTGGCGTGACGGCCAAAAGCGAGAAATTGACGACGAACATGTCACAATCACACGCAAATAACACAAGAATCAGACAACTTCATCGAACAAAACTTCCATATGTGCAAATTTCAATATCAACACAACAAATGCTAACAAAATTATAATGAATCATAATGGCATAACGCAAAAAGATCACTTCCAAATTACAAATGCTTATTAGAAATCAGGATTACATCCTACCTCTTAGCGAGTGCAGAGCGAAAAGACCGATTTGTCTAAAATGGCTGCTGGGATCGCTCGAGAGCCGCCCGGCGACTCAGATCACATGCGCAGTCGACAAGACTCATGCAAATGTATGACGTCATTACGACAGAGGCGGAAACGAAAGACAACGTCGAAAATGCAATGAGTCATTCAGAGACATTCATTCAAAAATTAATTATATGACATTTCATTCAGTGGTGCAATTACTACATTGGGCGTCAGGGAGTGTACTGTTATGATTTTTCTTGGCTGAATGGATGGACATATTATTACGATGATCAATTTAAAATTTGAATTGAGATATATAAATGATGCAAACATTGCAAGACATCCCACCGATTGACAACAGAAATGTATAGCCAAGCGTAGCCATAATGTAGCTTTTAGTATTGGAGGGGGCAATGGCTCGAATGTATACATACTTGATATTAGGTTTATGTTGCAAGCAGCAAGGGTAATGATCTATACACATGGAATCACAATATATCGGGTAGTGGTATCAGGGGGGATCTAGGGGGTTCGGCGGTTAACCCCCCCCCCCCCCCGCCCATTGGGCGGCCAAGTGAAAAAAGAAAGGGGAAAAGGGGGGGGGGAGAAGTGTTTTTTTTTAAAGTAAAACGGCGCGATTTTGAAAAAAATCCTGGATCCGCCACTGGGTCGAACCCCCCCCCCCCCCCCCTGGCAAAAAGCTCGATCCGCCCCTGGATATCAACCATTATAATCATCATATATTTAAGGGTGTAGAATGTAGATCAAAGGGACGCTCTGGCACAAAGGATCCCACAAACCCATGTAGGCCTATACAGCAAAAAAGATTGAAATTGGCTCGCTTTGCACCTCACTTGCTAAACAAAATTTATGAATTTGGTTTATCTAGAGTGACAGTGAATAAAATATAAAATGAGGGTGCCTTGACTAATATAGAAATGTTGAAAAAGGCGCGACGATCTATATAGAAGATTTCATAGACGCCGGAAATTGGGGACAGGGGGCACTCGCCCCTAACCAAAAATAAAGAAAAAAAATAAAGAAAAAAGGGAATTAAATTTCCTAAACATATCGCATGCCACCTATATCAATGGAGGTTTTTATAATAGCGATACGCGCATATCGTGGTAATATTGTGAGAGGATGGGAAAGCGTGTGTGTGTGTTTTTTTTATTTTTATTATAGGGGTGCCAAAAGACATGAGCCCCTGAACGCTTGCGTACTGATGGGGGGGGGGGGGTTATTTCTAATTCGATACCAGTGATTTACAAATGTCACATGATTCTCCTCCCCGAAAGAACAGATTTCGCTTAGCCTCCCTAAAAGTGTGCCCGTAATTTAGAGCAATTTTCATCTCGCTCTCTCACATTTATAACTTAAATAATTATTGTGTAATCTGTTACAGGTCTTATGTATTTATCATCATGAGATTATGCTAAATTATTTCCATTTTTTTTTTTACTATGATAAGGTCTAATCGGCCACAATGCGACCACACACAACTGCAAAATATGATGCTGAAGCAGCTAGTACCGTATATAGAAAAACAATAATTTGCAGACGATCCCTGTTATTGTATTAATTAGAATGTAGCTGTGATTACAACGGTCTCAGTTAAAATTAAAATTGTTGCTTTAGGTCTTGCTTGGGAGCCGCCCCCAAACAGGGGCGGATCCAGCCGGCGGCGAGAGGCCGGGGCCCAATCCGTGAGAAAATATTTAGCAGCGACTTTACTGGCCAGCTGGTGAATAAGCGGGGGGGGGGGGGGGATATAAGAGCACTTTTTTTGGGGGGGGGGGGTCCAATTTTTGATGAAACATTAAGCGGCGACTCAGTCAGCCGGTGAATAACCGGGGGGGGGGGGGGGGGGGGGGGGGGGGGGTAAGAGCACTATTTCTTCTCTAGTTTGCCTAAGTCGTGAGAAAATTTTTTTTTTTTTTCTTTTCAACAACTTTTTTTTTGGGGGGGGGTCAAGGCCAGTCCCCCCCCCCCCCTCCGCGCTACTACCCCAAAGTGCCTTTTTAGTTTGGGAGTGCCCCCTCCCGGCCATCTTTGAAAGTCGCTCCACCGCCCAGTCTGCCACCGCCCCCACCGCCCCTGATGTTTGAAGGGCGTGAATTTGCATAGTAAATGGGTCAATCAAGGGGTAGTGAATGGTGTAAAGAACTCTTTCCTTAAAGTATGGTGTTAAAAAAATGGTTATTACATTCATTTTCTTTTCAAATTTCCAACTGGCAGTGTTTTATTCATCCCCTTTTGTAGAGATAAAAAACACATATTTTTTGGGAGGTTGACATTTTGCAGATTTATAAACTTATTTTTCTGCTGCGCTGAAGATACATTTTGATTTTTTTTTGGAGGGCTTGCTGCATTGTAAATCCCTGATTTTTTTCCTTTAGTTTACTTTAATTCCTCTAAACGCCTCAGATGTGCGGCATCCCGCCAAGCTATCATTGTGAAATGTGAATAAGTACCATACCATGGAACTTTCATACAAGTCGCCCTTTTGAAAATAACATTTGTCATCACATACAGGCGCGCCAGGAGCAGTTTGGGATGGGGGGGCACAAACATTCCAGGGGGCTCACCTTCCAGGGGCAGTGGCGTAATGAGCAAAAACGTTTGGAAGGGGGGGGGGCAGAAGGTACGCATCACCCCCACTCTTACATGTTACATGCAGGCCGATCAGGTAAAGCGTAGCGAGCGTAAATTGGCGTGGGGTCCAGGGCCTGAAAGCTCAGGGCTTTTAGGTATTACATTACGGTTAGATAAGCATCCAGGGGCCCGCCTTAGGACTCTCGATGGGGCTCAGGGGGCAGAGCCCCCGGAAGCTCAGGGATTTAGGTATTTAATTACGGTCAGCTATGAGCACAGACATTGGCATATGTCACTTATTTGTTTTCTTCTCTCTCTCTCTCTCTCTCTCTCTCTCTCTTTCTTTCTTTTTCTCTGTAAAATACTCGTTTTTTTTTAAGTGAGGGGAGCTCAGCCGTTCTGCAGCCCCCCCCCCCCCCCCGCTTCCACGCCTGGGTGTGCATGTCATATTATCACTATTATTCTCATAATTTGTATCACTTCCGTCGTTAGTGATATCTTTATTGAATAATATTAATTCGATTTGAATGACAAATTCAAACTGACTGTGATGGGTGACATGAGAATAAATTGTCATTGACATTGCATCGTCATTGTCCGCGCGCGCGCCACGTAAGTACAACGGTACTTGCATATTATGTACAACTTGTAGGCTAGCGCGCGCGCGCGCTCAAGCTACCACCACCTGGCTTTCAAGATTGAGGTTGAATTGATGGTGGAAAGGCGTTTCAAAGATTCTGTATAAATTATAATGGCAACTGGTAAATCCTTGCGAGTGCTCAAACTACTGCAGGATGTTGGCAAAGCATCGTAAGTTTAAAGCGTAACAGTGCTTTCCATGTTATTTTTTTATTTTTAGTGGGTTCGATTATAAATATAGATATCTAGGAACAGGAATGTGTGTTGCCCGTTGGCACCCCTCGGACCTCGATTTTAGTGCATGTCCAGTGGCAGCCGCAGCATGCTTGTGGTGGTAGACGGGATGCGCGGGATTGAAGGGACCTGAGCTGGGGCAGCATGCAGCAGCCAGAGGGAGGGAGGCGTGGCGTGGCAAGCGGCGAGGAGCTGAGCTGAGCTGAGCTGAGGCCGCGGCCGGGAGCGATAGATATTAGTTTGTTGAGGTTTTTACAATCCAAACTTTCAAATGCATAATCCTGATAATACATGCATGTGTTTACAAAGATCTTGAATGGATGTACAGGACCTGAAAAAAGCATAAAAAGGCTAATCATGTCCGGTACAGTGCCAGTACTCGGTAGAGTGTGGTAAGTCACTATTAAAGGTAAAGACCAGTATTGGAAACGCCCCAATTTCAAAAAATGATGTGGAAGCTCTTATTACCAATCGTGTGAAAGAATATGTTTTGAATGTTACATTATGATAAAAAATTTGACGGGAAACCGGCTACTAATTGATATATTTGGTAAATTAGTGTATCTCTCGCCTGTTGAGAGATATGAAATGCACATGTAGCACACGTGTGTGTAGTCCCATTTACATCTTTCTGTGTACAGTGCTTCTAACTTTATGAAGACTTGGCCAAATTTCTTATCATTTTGATGATTCCAGAACCTTGTTGCTGCAGTACATCTATGCTAGATGATCAACCTTTTCTGATCAATTTCACAACGTTTCGATAGTAATTCTTTAAAATGTTGATGTATTTGGATTCCCATGTGGATGTATTATAACTTTTATAAGCATTAGAAAATTTAGCCGCTAAAACACTTCTATTTTGCGAAAAATGAATAATAAAAAATTTACTGGTGCTCCCGCCTTCCTGGTAAATTTCAAATATTTCAAATAGCACCTAATTAAGCTAAGGCCAGAGATTTATGCCATTTTACAAAGCTGGTGAATCAAAAAGTTGGTACCGTATTTGCCGGCGATAAGGCCGCAGCGCCGTATAGGCCGCACCCCCGATTTTGACATTTAAAAAAAAAAAAAAACTTTTTGTCAAAGTCGGGATTTGATCTCTTGCGTATAAATGTTGATTTGACTAAATCACCGCCTTAGACCTCTCGCCATCCCGCACTGATGCTAGCTAATGCAGTTTTTTGTGATGTATACATTGCGCCTCTCTGTTGTGTATTGAAATGGATTCAAATAGCGACTTCGCGTGCTGGATGCTTCGCGGCAGCTCCGTTAAACGGGCCCTTTTACTTTTGCAATGCATTGGCACGAACTTAGATCAAGATCTATCAGCAGATGTTGTTTTTGGAAGTTTATTTTCGTCTTCATGTCAACAATGCAAGATAAAATTGTTGGTAAGATGTGTGGAAATGTATACCGTATTTGCTGGCGTAAAGGCCACAGTATTTTTGGAAGAGAAAATATCAAAAAGTCGGGGTGCGGCCTTTACGGCGAAACAGAAAAAAAAAAAAAAAGTCAAAACCAGCACAAATTTGTACATATGGGACTAGATCTACGAATGGTACAATAACTATATAACTGCCCCCACGCCCCCCCCCCCCCCCCCCCCCCCCCCCCCCCCCCGGCTACGCGCCTGAGAAAAGTCCAACTTAAAGTGGATCTTAGTATTTGTGAAACACTCCCCTGATGATGATATGACATGAGACTTCAGAACTCTATTGCTTCTATTTCTTTCACAATGCAATTGCATGAGTAACGTCAACTTTAAGTTTATAAGGGCACTTCTTTTCTTTTTTCTTTCTTCTTATTTTGAACACCTTTAGATGCAGTTGTCCAGCCCACTCTCAGGCTTTTGGGGGAGGTATTGCACTGGCGCCTCCGGGGTCTCGTATGCCACTCAAATCTTGCTCCACGTCAGCTGAACAGCCTGACTATGCATTTGAGGTGAGCTGGAGCACATGTAACCTGTTACTACTGTATTTTCTTATTCTCATAGACTGAATACAGGAGCCATCCGGCTCCAGTAGGCAATGGGTTATGACAAATAACCCTCCCCCTCCCCTCCCCCCCCCCCCCCCATGGATGTTCTGATTTCTGTGAAAGTGGTGATATAGCGGTGCTTTCATTCACCTGCTACAAAAATGTTGTACTTCCAGAGTCAGATTGCAGGTTGCTTGCTTCAATAAGCTTGTTAGTCCAGGGCAGGCTTGCAACAAACAACTTGAATGATGGTGAGGAATACAGGGTTAGAAAACTCTATACCAGTGGGCCCAGTGACATACTTGAAGCTTGAACCAGACAACAATAAACAGAGTACTAGTACAAAGAACAAGTAGTTAGTACATTACCCCAGTACTTACAGGTAAAGAACAGTTTGGGAAACTCCCCCCCCCCCCCCTCTCAAAAAATGAAATGGAAATATGTTTTGACTAATACGTGATGATACAAATTTTGCAGAGAAGCTGCCTACTAATTGATATATTTGGTAAATTATATCTATTTGGACCTGAAAGATATCGCGCACGTGTCGCGTAGTCTCATATTCATCTTTCTGTGTACAGTGCTTGTAACTTTACCAAGACTGGGCCAAATTTCTTATCATTTTGATGATTCCAGAACCTTGCAGATGCTAGATGCTAGATGATCAACCTTTTCTGATCGATTCCACAACGTTTCTTTCACAATGCATTGCATGACCAGAACCGATATTTACCTTATAAGTTGGACTTGAACTATGGCAAGCCGTTCATGCCACTAGATCCTCTTACCATTCCTGGCATTGGTTTCTTTAATAATCATGCAGAAGTATATCAGAACAAATAATATGTATGGATAAATGCAAACTTACTGTTTGTCGAGTCCAAGAGTAGATCGATGGAGAGCTCTGCTGTATGTGAGATATTGCTGAGGAATATGAGACATAGGAGGGGATGGGGGGGTTCTAATTATCCACTCATCCTTCAGTGTGATTGGTCATTCATTCATGTATCACCTAGTTATCCCCCCTCCCCCCCCCCCCCTATTCATTATGCCACAATACACCTCAACATGTAGTATGTACAATGGCAAGTGCAAACTAAGGAAAAGGACGATTACACTCTTGCATCCATGTACATGTACATGTATGAAATACTAGTGGTACACATGCAAGCCACATGTTCCAATGTTTCATGTACATGTACATGTATATCAAGACCTAATTGTCAAATTTTGTTGAACAATCTGTTGTCTTCTCTGTCATGGTTGAAAGACAATTTTCTTTCTTCTTTTTGTGCATGTGTGCATATTTTAAAACAAAATTTTTGAAAGAAAAGTAAGATTTAATCAGTTAATGATTTCCAACAATTTATACTACTTTTTGATCTGACTTGTCGGGTTGCAATGCTGTTGATAAATTAACGTAATACATTTAAGTTTTGGCAAGTTTTTTGTTCTAGCTAGTACCTACTCATTTTTTTCTTCTTCTTCTTTTCTCCTTCTTTTTCTTCTTCTTTTCTTTTTCTTCTTCTTCCCCTCCTCCTCCTCCTCCTTCTTCATCTTCTCCTCCCCCTCCTCCTTACTCTCTCCCCCTTTTTTGTTCTTGTTTTGTTTTTCAGATGGCGTGCTCCAACATTCGATTTGGAAATGGGGTGACTCAGGAAGTTGGCTGGGTAAGTTGCATGATTTAGTTTGTTACAATTTCTTTTTTTTTAAATTATTTCCTGAACTGTAGAATATCTTAATTCCTTAAAGGTAATACAAAGTTTTGGGAAATGTTGAAAATCGGGTTGATAGTGATTCTTTACCATTTTGATATATTTGGATGCCCCTGTGGATGTATTATAAACACTAGAAAATTTAACCTCTAAAACACTGCTGCTTTTGAGAAAAATTGAATATAAAGATTTACTGGTGCTCCCGGTAAATTCTGATAAATTTCATATAGAGCCTAAGGCCGTACAATGGTAGCTGTGACCATGAAAATCTCAGAATATGTAGTTGTGATACATAATTTCCAAACGGGAATAGCTAATTGGTCGATTTTAGTCAAGAAGCATTGTTCTATAGCTTATAATTACAGTGCTTATATAGTGCTTATATAAAGTCTCTAAGCGCTCTACAATAATGCAGCATAATTACCCTGGCTTTAGCAGTGCAGCTGTTACGCGCGCTGCGTTTCAAGGAATAAATTCCTACCAGGTACCCATTTACTTCACCTGGGTGGAGTGTGGCAAATATAGATCAATGTCTTGCCAAAGGACATTAGTGCAGCGGCGGGACTCGAACAGCGGACCTTGTGATCGACAGTCCGGCTTAGTTAAATATCTTGACCTTGAGAGGGAGCTATACAAAATAAAGAGTTTATTATTTACAATTTCATAACTTTAGACTCGATTTCAACCACGACAACGATCACTGAATATTGTAGGATCGCATATATATGCTTCTAATATGTTCATTTGAACCAAATTCATGACCTCATACCAAAACTTTGTATTACCTTTAATGTCTGTGTCTGTGTGCTATTTCTGGTTTCTGTTTTTTTTTTTTTATGTCAAAGCAAGGGCAAGTTTTACAAAATGGTGCTTGTTTATTTCAGATACATAATAGATTATGGTATACCAATGTGTAAACAGAAGTAGCAGCTTTATGTGCTAGTCCTTCCTGTATGCTACATCTGCTCCGTTCACATTAGCCCTTTGTCTTTACACTTTGCAGGCCCCAATTACTATTGATTTTTGTACTCAATCCCCCATGGTGAAATCTCTAGCCAGAATGTGAAGATTAATCTTTGCTGGACTTTGAGCCTATGCTGGTTATGAAAGAACATTTGCACTGTGACAAACATAAAGCTCCTGGATGAATAGAGGCTAATACTAATCCATGTCCTTTCTTTGTTTGGTGTCTTATCTTTGCAGGACTTTGAGCACATGGGTTCAAAGAATGTTTGCGTGGTGACAGATAAGAAGGTATGTTTGCCATTTGGTTCATCTTAGGTTCAGTCATGGGGGAATGGGAGTTAGGAAAGTGGGGGGGGGGGGGGGGGGGGCTACTCGTCTTACAGCTAGATCAATTACAAGAGCGAGCTAAGCATGGAGGGGCTGGTAGGGGGTTGAACCATTTTCTTTTTCACTTCATGTCTTTTTATCCTGTCTCCCTTCTTATGTTTTTCCTCCAGAGAAGGGAAGAGAACCTTTCCCTTTTCTTCTTTTTAATTTTTCCATTCAAACTCCTCACTATACCCCTGTCCATGTTCATGAAACCTTTTTGTAAAGGGTTTGAAGAAAATTGAAGAAATGAGTATGTTCTGTAATTGTAACCAAGAATGTTTTGACTACTGAACTGGTGATAGAATATATGCCTATAGATAGATTTTTTATTGTAGAAATGAGTGTGTTTTGCCACCAGTAATGTTTTGACTACTGAACTGGTGATAGAATATATGCCTATAGATCGATTTTTTATTGTAGAAATGAGTGTGTTTTGCCACCAGTAATGTTTTGACTACTGAACTGGTGATAGAATGTGCCTGTAGATCGATATATTATTTACTGAAGGAAACTTAATTGTGATAGCAGGAATAAATATTGCCGGAGTAGATCGATTCATATTCCTTGATTTTCCTTTATTTTATTCTTAAATAGAAAAAGGAAGTTAATTTTCGACACTCTGACACACTCCCTCTTTATCAGTTTTGCACATCTACAAAAAATGTACACACAAACAGCCTTTTCACACAGCTAAAATTCTATAAACATGATAAGTTTAAAGGGCTTTGAACTAATCAGCTGTACATACGACATCATTCACACACAGAAATTTCGGTGCGATCGTTAATCGTTTCGTGATTAACCACTGCTCTTAAAATGCGCAGTAGTGCCATTGCGCATTGAAGGTCAGGTCATATCAAACAAAGCACACGCTCCTTCCAGTTTAAACACGTTTAAACCTTTCACACACACAAAATGTCAAGCTCTCTAGATACGAACTTCGTATCTGCAGCCTGCTTTGAGGGGCGTATGAATCGCGACTTCGTATCTATCCGAGCATCGTATAAACGATGTACACACAGGGAAAATTTTCTTTAAAGGTGTTTAAAACTGTTGAGTTTAACATGTTTATACTAATCATCTCTAGACACGATAAATTTTAGCTGTGTGTGAAAAGGCTGTTGGACTGACACTCTTGGGGGAACATTAAATACGCAAAGTAGTGGACTCTCATGGGGAATTTGACACCATCTGGTGTTTACCCAATAACAGGTGTTGTCTCAATGTCTGTCAGCAGGATCAGCCTTCAGTTTTATGACCAATTGGCCTTGTGTAATGCCTTTAATCCCTTTAACATACAACCCATGTATCTCTTGTATAACACCACGTCTCATGTTTTAGCTCCTTTAACCCCAAGCTTGCATGCCACACCTCACCCAGTTAAGGTACCCCTGTGGTATTCAAATGGAAAGGATGATCCTTAATAGGAGATTAAAAGGGGAGCTTATTAACCCTCCTTGATCATGGATTAATCTCCCCTTAATTGCCCCCATGTTGTCATACCAGGTTATTTCCTTTCTATTGTGCTGGTAGGCTGAGTGTCTTTTTGTTAGTACTTTGAAAAGGAATTATAGGTAAAGACCAGTAAACACGCCCCAATTTCAAAAAATGAAATGGAAGCTCTTATTGCCAATCATGTGAAAGAATATATGTTTTGACTAATACATGATGATGAAAATTTTGCAGGGAAACCGCCTACTAATTGATATATTTGGTAAATTAGTTTATGTACATGGTCTGTGAGAGTTAAACGCATGTGTACGTATAGTCCCATATACATCTTTCTGTGTGCTTGTAACTTTACGAAGACTGGGCCAAATTTCTTACCATTTTGATGATTCCAGAACCTTGCAGTACACACCAATACTTATATGCTAGATGATCAACCTTTTCTGATCGATTCCACAACGTTTCTTTCACAATGCAATGGCATGACCATAACTGGTCTTTACCTTTAAGTGCAGGCCCTGTAAAGTTAACATGAAGAATAAAAGAACTTGATTGATTTTGTCCTCTCATGAAGCAATTAATAGAAAGGAAGTAGACCTGTTGGAAATGCCAACTACTACAAGTGGAGGATGCTGGTGTTATCACAAGATTATTGTAAACCATAGCAGTTTGGAGTTTTACTTGTATTTATGAAGTAACCAGTTTTCCCGCCTCAAATTGGCCACAATTAAAGATAAACTTGAGTTCTGGTAAAAAAAAAAAAAATGAATTCTCTCAGAATCAAACAAAACTTACACTGAATGTTCAAGATTACAAATAAAAATGAATTTGCCAAACAATTTTGGTAGAAAATGTATACTGGCTGAGTAATGAGCATCGAAAGATAAGGGAATCAAGGTTAGTAGCCCCGACACCGTTTGTGTAGTCCCACATCTTTCTGTGTACAGTGCTTGTTACTTTTCCAAAACTGGCCAAATTTATTATGATTTTGATGACTTCAGAACCTTGCAGTACACACCAATACTTACATGCTACATGTTCACCTTTTTTCTGATCTATTCCATACCTTTTCTTTCACAATGCAATCGCATGACCAGAACTCAACTTTATCTTTAAGCTTATTTTCCACTACTTCATACATGTGGTATGAAGAAAAAAAAATGTGGATTTTAAAGAACCAATGTGAAACGAAATTGCAGAATTTCACTCTAAACAAATTGCATTGCTACTCAAAAATACTGAATTCATATTTGTTATCACACTGCCATTTTAGAGAAAATTAAGTATTTAAAAAAAAAAGATATTCGACCGGCCGACAGACCCAGGTTCTGCCACCTAAATGGCAATACAACATCATTTTTTTGTTAAAGGTAGAGACCAGTATTGGAAACGCCCCAATTTCAAAAAATGAAATGGAAGCTCTCATTACCAATCATGTGAAAGAATATGTTTTGACTAATACATGATGATAAAAAATTTGCCGGGAAACCGCCTACTAATTCATATATTTGGTAAATTTGTTTCTCTCATGGTCTGTGAGAGATATAGGGTAGTCCCATATACATCTTTCTGTGTATAGTGCTTGTAACTTTACGAAGAATGGGCCAAATTTCTTATCATTTTGATGATTCCAGAACCTTGCAGATGCTAGATGCTAGATGATCAACCTTTTCTGATCGATTCCACAACGTTTCTTTCACAATGCAATTGCATGACCATAACTGGTCTTTACCTTTAAGGCTTACGAAGCCCTGATACATAAACGGCACATTGTACTGCACTTGAAATAGACTCAAGTTTGTCTGTGTGATTTTTGTCTCTTTCTGCTAAAGTAAAATATGTAACTCCTAGCATTCTGGATACGGTAAAGCTACAACACTATTGCACAGAAAGGTGACACTGTACTAGGTGAATCAACAAAAGAAGTTATTCCTACACGTTGAGATGTACTTGTACAGCGTTGTATAGGGCTATCATGGAATAGTTGTCTATTTTTTTTTTTTTTCAATCTTTAGGTTGAGATTGCCAAAATCCAGTTCAGTCAGTTCAAACAAGGAAAAGTTATTTAAAATGAAAATGTAAGGCATTTAAATTTTGCCATTCATGATATTATTAATGATGGTGACAATTGTAAAATGGTGATGATAACAATAATAATAGTATTAATAATGATAATAGTAATAAACCTAGCAGGAATTATGATGACGATGATGGCGATAATAATAGTAGTACCGGCAGTAGTAATACTACTACTACTACACCTGCGCCTCAGAATAGCTTACTAGATCGATGGCGCATAATAAATGCTGTATTATTATTATTATTATTATTATTCTTCTACTACTACTACTACTACTACTACTACTACTAATGATAATAATGATACTGATAATGATAATATTAATAATGATAATAATAAAAAGAAGAAGAAGAATTAATAGTGATAATGATAGATAAATTACTAAATATTTTCTCCACACATCAATGAGAAATGGATGAATGAAAGATGGTATATCATTGGTCTATTTTGATGTGCAGTTAGCAAGCCTTCCAATCATGGACACTGTTCTGGAGTCCCTGAATGCGGCTAAAGTCAACTATGAGGTATTTGACAGTGTCAGGGTTGAGCCAACTGATATAAGGTAAATTCGTCAGCACGATTTAAAATACTTGATCGGAAATGTAATTCAGTTCATCTAGCATTTTTGGTGTAGATATTATTCTGTTATTATTCAATTATAAGCCTGGGACCATATTCCAATGACCAAGTCCTCTAATATGTTAAAATGTGATTTTAATTGTCATATCAAACTGAATTAAAGGTACCGGTAATACAAAGTTTTTGGTAAATTTTGAAAATCGGCTGGTTAGTGATTCTTTAAAATTTTGACATATTTGGATGACCCTGTGGATGTAAGATAAGAGCTAGAAAATTTAGCCCCTAAAACTCTTTTGCTTTCGAGAAAAATTTAATATAAAAATTTACCGGTGCTCCCGGTAAATGTTGATAAATTTCAAATAGCGCTTACGGCCATACGATTGTAGCTGCGACCATGAAAATCTCAGAATTGAGTTGTAATATGTAATTTTAAAACGGGAATAACCAATTGTTCGATTTTAGTCAAGAAACATTATTTTATGGCTTTATTAATATCTTGACCTTGAGAGGGAGATTTACAACATCGATTTCAACCGCGACAACAATTACTGAATATTGTAGGAGCGCATATGCTTCTAATTAATATGTTCATTTGACCCAAATTCATGACCCCATACCAAAACTTTGTAATACCTTTAAGTCTCGTTCAGATACGACGCAGTAAACTGTCACAGTTTTCTTACGTGTAAATGAATGGAGACTGCGTGTGACTTTGCATGGTCTTGCACATATTCACTGAGCTCTGTGTTATATGATACAGAAATTTGATGCGCTGATTTTGCCGCTGATTCTACCACATGAACTATCAATCAATGATAATAATGACAATAATAATGATCTTGTTCGCACCACAAAATTATGACAATTTGGCTTTGCCGCAACTTTTGTAACATGTACAGTGCGCGTCAAAAAATGAAGTTTACACCTAGAAAATTGCTAATTATTTTAAAAATCATCTAGGAACAGTAAATTATTATACATGTACATCTTATGAAAGAGTGTTTTATTCCAAATCATTTGTGAGTGATACGTGTTCATGCTTGGATGAATAAGAGATATTGTTTAAGAGAGTGCAAAAATGGACTTGCGCCGAAGAAATACATGTGATGTTTGAATAGAGCAATTGGGATTTGGGTATTAATTCGGTCCTTGCAGATCCAAATAACATCTTTAACAAAATAATCATGCCACACATATTAAATATCGAAGGACATTTGAATGTGTAAGTGTGTGACTTTGTGTCTGCAAATGCATCTCATTTGATACATTCAATTCATTCTCTTACTTTGATCACTTGGCGCAAGTCGATTTTTGCATGCTCGCAAACAATGCCTTCTGTTCATCCAAGCGTGACCACATACCACCCAAAAATGATACCAAACGATTCGGGATATAACACTCTTTCAAAACATGTACGATAACCTTTCGTTTATAGCCGACTTTTAAAATAAATGACAATTTTCTAAGTGTAAATTTTTTTTTTGACTCGCATGGTACATCAATGTTCTCTCTATGTATGTACATATTGAGGGTTCAGGGACTCAAAAACTTAACTCCCTATTTTGTCAATGGGTATCAATGGGTATTTGGTATCAAAATGTTCAGAAAAATGTGGGCTTTCCAGGAAACACAAAGACTCAACTCCACCCAACACCCCATTGAAGTCAATGGCTAGTGAAACATGGACTTACCGGTAACTTGTTAAGGCCCAAGTGCTCAGTGACACATAAACCACTTTTTCTCAAAATGGCCAAAATGTCTTTGTGTCAGTGAACCCTCGAATTCGATATACCTGTCTATTTCCAGTTTTCACGAGGCCATCTCTTTTGTGAAAGCCCGAAACTTTGATGCCTACCTGGCTGTTGGAGGGGGCTCTGTCATGGACACCTGCAAGGCTGCCAATCTCTACGATTCTCACCGGGATGCCGAATTTCTGGATTTCGTCAACGCCCCCGTCGGTAAGGGACTCCCAATCCCAGGAGCAGTAAAGCCTCTCATTGCAAGTAAGTCTGTCTCGATCACAATTCTGTTGGTCACCCCACTCACTGTCTGCTGAATTTCAGCCAACTTTGAATTCTCATGATTCGCCTTTTGATTTTAAAATGTGAGGTTAAAGGCATTAATTGTTTAACAATGCCAAATCTGTGATGCATGGCCCTATGTGTTATTAGTGTCTATGATATGGTTTAATATTGAAACCCTAAACGATTTTCCAGATTTTTCCAGATTTATTCCCAATTTTTTTACTCTAAAGGGGGGGGGGGGGGAAGTAGAGGGCAAAAACAACTAGTTGATTTCATATATTTCCATAAATTGTTGGTTCTGTTTGATAATTGCTACCTAAATTGACAGTTCACTTCCATACTTTTTTGTTGTTAAATCAATTACAATATCTGCAGAAACTCATTTATGTTTTGTGTAGATTTGTGTATCTGTATCTTATATAATTGCACATCATTAGGACAGTGGTCTTGGCTACCATTCCCAATTTTCCATGTTAATAATAACCTTTTTACTTCGTATTCCTTGTAAGGTTTCTTGTATTTTCTCTCCTTGTATTTTGTACAAGAATTTCTCCTCTTGAAGGTTTTCTTTTCCGTTGAAAGGCTGCCTTCAAAAGTTATCCAATCTTTCAATTGCATTCCTTATCATTGTTTATTAGAAAATCAAGCTATGATATATAGTCCCATAGACATTCTGCAGTGTAGTGGTAGTGGTAGTGGTAGTGGTGGTGGTAGTAGTAGTAGTAGAAGTAGTATGAGTATTGTAGATGATGGCATTATAAGTAGAAGAAAAATTGGGAGTATGAGTAAATATGGTATCAATTTTATATTATATTATATCTTCTCATGTTCTGTTCTATCACTTCTTCTGTTAATGCTAATATGAGTAAAACAATGTTATCAAACTACATGTCAATACTACAGAATACATATTCTACAAATTCTACTACTTACGATTTTACATTTTCACAGTTCCCACTACATCGGGGACTGGGAGCGAGACTACAGGGGTGTCTATATTTGACTACACTCCACTCCGAGCTAAAACAGGTAGGTACCGTGAGAAGTAAAATAAATAAAAACAAATTTATTGAAGCTCTCTTTTTGTGTGTTTCTATGGGATTTCAAACCACTCCCATCGTTTACATGTACATGTATAAAGGCCGGTGGCTTGTCACATGTTGTTTTTTTACCTCACAAATGCACGAAACAGATCAGTTACTTAATACATGTTATCTTTAATCAGCTGTTATTAACAGTAAAAGAAAAATTTCCAGGTCAGCTCAGTAGAAACAATTTTGTTAACATAACGATTGAGGGTCATGTGACAATGTATATTTGCAACAGGGATTTCTCTATTTACTGATGAATAAAAAAGAGAAATTGCATTGTAACTAACCGTCACCATATTTGACTATTTTTGTATCGATTAAGGACATCTTTTTCAAGCTACACACATTTAAATGCTAAGGACCTGCTTACACTATGAACATGACTGACAAAAAAAGCGGACAAAATATACAGTTCCTCAGGTAGACAAAGGAACATCCCTTCACTGCTATTATGTAAACATGTGTAGAACAGGTGTCACATGCATATTCACCTTTTTACATAATAGCAGTGAAGGGATGTTCCTTTGTCTACCTGAGGAACTTTATATTTTGTCCGCTTTCTTTGTCTGTCATGTTAATAGTGTTAACGCAATAGTGCACGTCTGAGTTAAGAAGAATGGAGCCACGTGCTTACACCCTTTTGCATGCCAAATCATCTCATGATTTTTCGTTCCTGATGTAGGTATTGCTAGCAGAGTGATCAGGCCGTTGCTGGGTATTGTTGATCCCTTGCACACCCTCAGCATGCCTAACAGAGTTACTACTTACAGTGGGTTTGATGTGCTGTGGTAAGTTGATATTAAAGCTTATCTGTACTAGTTGATAGGAGGGATTAGACCACTCTGCAGATTTTTTTTTTTTTTTCCTTCTTTTTAATGACGAAAAGTTTTTGGCTGTCAAATGCTCAAAAAAATTCATGGCTGGGATTATTTTGTCTTTTGGAGTTGTTGTGTACCATGTTTGTTGATATTTAGTGCCTTTTCATGACTTTGAAATTGAAATATTTGAAATATTGGTCTAAGAGAAGACGCAAAACATGCGGGCCGCCATCTTGGATTACAATGTAGGCATGCATTATAATCCAAGATGGACATGGACAAAATTGGAAAAAGTGTATGAAAGTTATACTAGTAATCACTAGTTGTATGGGCACTTAAAATTGGCTGAATTAATAATGTCACTGTTATGTTGTGCCGGGCAACTGTCCAATTTGTTTCAAAACACAGAATGACTAAAATGTCAATTTTTCAAAATGTATGACTCAGGACCTATACTAATATGTTATCCATAATATATGTTGGCTAGTGCCACAAGGGAGAAAGTAATTAATGATGTTTTTGTACTTGTCATAATCCTTTTATTAAAATTCCAATTTGAGATTTGCATAGATATAGTGATCTCATATTTCAAACATTCATTACTCTTGCTTTATTTCAAACTTTGGCCGTTTCTCTGCATTGTGTTGTAGCTGATAAGCGATATATGTATATAAGAAACAATTAGGAATTGTTATTACCCGATGGACATATTCTGGGTTTTTGTTCCAATTTTTAAGAGGTATTTGCACAGTTCATGATAAACGTTTAAAGGTAAACACCAGTTATGGTCATGCGATTGCATTGTAAAAGAAACATTGTGGAATCGATCAGAAAAGGTTGATCATCTAGCATCTAGCATCTACAAGGTTCTGAAATCATCAAATTATAAGAAATTTGGCCCATTCTTCGTAAAGTTACAAGCACTATACACAGAAAGATGTATATGGGACTACCCTATATCTCTCACAGACCATGAGAGAAACAAATTTACCAAATATATGAATTAGTAGGCGGTTTCCCGGCAAATTTTTTATCATCATGTATTAGTCAAAACATATTCTTTCACATGATTGGTAATGAGAGCTTCCATTTCATTTTTTGAAATTGGGGCGTTTCCAATACTGGTCTTTACCTTTAAAACAGATCGCATTCATCTATGTTTTCATTGTTGAATGAATACAATACATGTATAAAAATGACAAAACATAATACTGCAAATCCGCATTTTAGAAATGAATTCTGTCTTTATTTCTTATAAAAAGCCATGCTCTGGAGTCCTACACTGCCATCCCATACAACGAGCGCAAACCAAGACCAACCCACCCCAAGAACCGACCAGCCTACCAAGGGAGCAACCCCATCAGTGATATCTGGTCTAGCCACGCCCTTAGGATGCTTCAGAAGTTCTTCAAGAGGTAAGATACACAAGCCTACCAAAGTAGTAATTCTATCAGTGATGTCTGGAGGGTGTTTCACAAAGACTAAGATCGACTTAAAGGTAAAGACCAGTATTGGAAACGCCCCAATTTCAAAAAATGAAATTGAAGCTGTTATTACCAATCATGTGAAAGAATATGTTTTGACTAATACATGATGATAAAAATTTTGCCGGGAAACCGCCTACTAATTGATATATTTGGTAAATTAGTTTATCTACATGGTCTGTGACAGATTAACGCATGTGTCGCGCACAGGTGCATATAGTCCCATATACATCTTTCTGTGTACAGTGCTTGTAACTTTACCGAGACTGGGCCAAATTTCTTATTATTTTGATGATTCCAGAACCTTGCAGTACACACCAATACTTATATGCTAGATAATCAACCTTTTCTGATCGATTCCACAACGTTTCTTTCACAATGCAATGGCATGACCATAACTGGTCTTTACCTTATAAGTTGGACTTGAACTATAGCAAGCTGTTCATGCCACTAGATCCTCTTTCCATTCCTGGCATTGGTTTTTGAAGGGACATACCCATCGTGGTCACTAATCTACAGAATTTACATTTTTTGATAGTTCATTATTGAAGGAAAAAATGTTATCTAAAGATCATAATTGAGAGACCAATGGTGAGAGCTAGCAATGAATGGCCTGCCATAGTTCAAGTCCAACTTAAGTCCATCTTTATTTCGTTAAAAATATAGGGTTAGGGTAACTTAGTTGCAATCTGGTTCAGGTTTAGTGTTAGGGCTAGGAATAGTTATAGTGTTTGTTCGGTTAATGTAGGGAATTAATGCAGAGCAATTGCCGCAGGAGTGAGTATCGTCCAACTCCCCAACAATACATCATTCTTTGTTCTAACTTGTAAACCCCCAGAGCTGTGGCTGACCCGGAAGATTTGGAGGCTCGTTCCGAGATGCATCTAGCCAGCGTCTTTGCTGGTGTGGGCTTCGGCAATGCTGGTGTTCATCTATGGTGAGTTCTAGTTTTCCCTCCGGTGGTTCCTGAACAAACACAGGGATCGTTTAACAACGTTAAATCTGAGATGCACGGCCCTACGTGTTACCAGTGTCTGTGATAGATGTTATATTGAAGCCCTACAAAAATTACGCTTCAAAATGATCCAGAAGTGCCTCAAAAAAGTAAAAACCTTTGAGTGACCAGTGTTACCATACTCGTGTTCCCCAATTGATTGTAGTGTTACGAAAACCGTTAAGCAAATACAAAATTTGATTCTGATTTTCAATCATAAATATCTTGATAATCAGACAGGAGATCGGCTTGTAAAAGTCATGGGGTTCCTGACTGACCTAAAGGTTTATAATTATCATTGCAGCATGAGCTAAATCCAGAATTTTGTTTCAGAATCTGAGTCAAAGTTATCGGATCCCTTTAAGGACACTCTGTCGCCACTTTTCATGTGCAGTATGTCATAATTCCCTGACACAGGACTTGGTGCAATACCATTAATGAGTGTACAAGTCTTGCACACAGCAAATTGGACGTCCCACCAGGGAACTACCCTGTAGTGTCTAAGGAAATCTTCAGGCGAGGGAAAATCATGATGATGAGCTTTCCTTACCGGTATCTTAAGTGTAGAAACATTGCCAAAATCAAGATTTAGGAGGTAAGAACAGGTTTTCAAAACGTGTTAATCCAGTTGTTACCAATTGAAAGTTGTTCAAACTTTGTTTGTAGGATACTGTACTACTAGGGAATTTTATGTGTGTAAGAAATGAGAATTTGAGCTCATTTACTTCATAGCTGGGTATCATTTTAGTCTGATCTCTTAACATTTGTGTAGGAGTTCCAAGATCGACACTTATTTTCAGTTAAACGTTAACATCCCATTTCTTAACAGTGGTTCAAACAGAAATAAAAATAACCGCGATATTACTGCCAAAATCAAGATTTAGAAGGTAAGAACAGGCTTTCAGAATGTGTGAATCAAGTCTTCACCAATTGAAAGTTTTTAAAAATACTATTTTTTAGGAATGTGAACTTGAGCTGATTTACTTTATAGCTGGGTATCATTTTAGCTTCAGTATGATCTCTTAACATTCGTGTAGTAGTTCCAAGATCGACACTTATCTTCAGTTAAACGTTAACAGCCCATTTCTTAACGGTGGTTCAAACAGAAATGAAAATTAACGGAGTATTACTGCACTTTTCTCTCCTCATATCTTCTACATGCAGCCATGGTATGTCGTACCCTATCGCTGGTATGGTGAAGGAATACAAGTCTCGTGACTACGATGTGGACCATGCTATCGTGGTGAGCCTCTATATAGACTCGTCTTCATCAGCTGGAGTTTGCCAAAGAACCCGCTATATCAGACTTTAGATATTATCCCGAAGCTTGAAATTGCGTTTTCACCAGACGAGTTTGCCAAAGAACCCGCTATATCAGACTTTAGATATTATCCTGAAGCTTGAAATTGCGTTTTCACCAGACCAGACCAATCCGCTCATCACAAACTAGCTCGGACAGGCGCAAATTAGCGCTCTATTTTCCGAATAGTGGGATATTTTGGCAACAAGATCAAGATTTCTCTGGATATTTTCTTGACCAAATATCCCACTAATTGCAACTGCAGGCTAATGAAAACCTAAATTGACTCGTTAGTTTGTAGTTTGCGATCAGGATAGTTAAAATACCGGGTTATTTGGCTAAGTCGAGCTGATGATGACAGGCCTATTGAGTGTTTTCCTTGTGAAACCCGTCTCCAAGAAATAGGCCTTTGGATACAATGGAGGGTTCTGGGGGGTGTTTCACAAAGATCCTAAGTCAAACTTAACTCTAAGTTGGACTCGAACATTATGAATAGCCCTCTGTAGCCTTAAAATAAATATATTCAAAAGCAATTATTCAAGTATTTTAGATGTTTCATAAATTCCACATCAAGAACATGAATTCTCCTTGATAATAAAAAATCTGAATGATTTCAATCAACTTTAATGCCTTTTAAAATAACTTCTACAAAATATTTTTGATAATTGTTTTTTTCCATAATTGTTAAGTCCGACTTAGAGACAAGTTCAACTTAGGATCTTTGTGACACCTCCCCCCCCCCCCCCCTTGTTCACCTCTTGTGTATTTAGTTTGTGCAGTATTTTTGTGCAATATGTGCAATTTGTGCAATATTTCAACATGGGAAACCACAGCATCCCATGTTAAACAAACAAAAAAAACTCACAGGATTGTTGGTGTGTCTGTGCTGAGTGGTAGGTTTCAAATACCAGTATGCACGCTACAGTCACATACAGGTTCAACAAACTTTACAGTTAAGCACTGGTGCACTTTCAACTCCTTATCATTTTGCTTATAAGTGTTATATTCAGATTACTGCTTTTGTTTTGTTTTTAAGATGTTGGGCAAGTTGTTGTAGTCTTGCTCACCATTTCTCTCTTGAATTTAACCACACTTAACAAAAAAAGCTTGCCATGCAAGTGCAAACATGGATTTAAATAGACTGTGTTTATATCATGAATATATGACCAAATAAATTGTTGGTGTCCCTGTTATCTGCTTAAATATCTTTACTCCAAATTATCTGCTTATACAGTATATGAAGTTTCATTATAATGTGCACACATTTAAAAAAAAGCTTTGTACTTAACTATAGCAGGGCCCAGACACATGGTCGTTGGCACCAAAAATTGAGGTCTGGAACCCCCCCCCCCCCCCCCCCCCAGATTTCAATTTACAGTGGGCTCATGCATACAGACTCTAGAACATTAAAGGTACTATGTCTCTTTTGCAGCAACCTCAAATGCTGTAGAACTTTGCAGGAATTATGAGTATGTCATGTATGTCCTAACTGTGAAATTTAACGTTAGCAGTGTCCTCATATTCAAATTTTGCAAGGAAACCCGTTTACTTGCTAGACTTCACTGTCAGACACTATTGAGTGACTGACTGGCTCTTTTTCTTCTTTGGTAATAACATACATGAAAAGAGTTGTAAAGGGTACATGAGCATTTGTCTACATCAATAACCCACTTCTTGTGATGGCCAAGATTAAACTGATTGAATCTTTGCGCAGCATAAAATGTATGACCATTCGGTACATTTATTGTCTGAAAATCAAGACTATTACTTTTGGGCTCTATAGCCGTAAAGTCAATTTGACAACTATAGTCGTTATTTTCCCACTTGAAGACATTTTCAAGCCCCACCTTTTTTAGGGAAGTGCTAAATTAGTATTATCTTTCAAATGCAGTTGGAATTTAATTTTTTCATTTTTTTGGCCTGCAAATGGGACATAGTACCTTTAAATCAGACCCCCTTTTGAAAAAAGTTACCTGTGAGGCCCTTCCTATTGTACCTCATGGTCTAAAATTATCTGGAAATTGTTGTCATATTGCTCCAACACTGTCTGTCTGTAATATAGTTAATAGAGTCAAAGCTTATTAAGTGCCCACCTCTATATAAAGGCCACCAGTCTGTGGTGGTCACCCATATTGCCACCCTCTAGAAGGGAATGTGTGTTCATGGAGAACCCGTCTACAGTGGCCAATTTTTGTGTTTCGCTTTGATGGCCCTTATAGACAGGTTGGACTGTATTTCATCTTGTTTCTCTTTGCTCTTTTTCACCAGCCCCATGGCTTGTCTGTTGTCGTGACAGCACCTGCCGTCTTCAACTTCACAGGGCCCAGCTGTCCTGAAAGACATTTGGAGGCTGCTAAACTTCTCGGTAAGCAATGGAGGATTTGCCCTCCAAATGAATTTTAATGGCTCGTTACAAGGGGAATCATGGAAGTTTGTTTTTTTTTACACGTAAGTTAAGAGTAGACGTCCCTAGGTTTCCATGTGCGTTAGGTCATAATTTGTCGACACCAGACATGATGGAAATACCATGTCTTGGTGGTGTACAAGTCTTGCACACAGCAAACCAGTAGTCCCATCAAGAAATCTCCCCACTGCCCGTCTCTTGGAGAGTCTTCGGTCAAGAAATGTCCGAAAATTAATTTTCTTTATTGGGCGATTAGTGGAAAATGCAAAGCATCATGTCAGACCTGCTGGTCATAAAACTGAATGCTAAATTATTCCTGGTGATTGACAACACCTTTTATTGGGTAAACAACGAATGGTGTCAAATTCCCCATGAGAACCCACTACTCTGTGTCTTAGTTGGGAAGTGGGGATGAATGAGAGTAGCTTCCTGCAACGAAGGTCCTATCCGTACTCACCTTATGTGTGTTGTAATATGCTGAAGTATTAATTGATTATGCTTATCACACATTATTATTTATAAAGTAAAATCCTGCAGCTTGCCATGTCAATTGAGAACGAGCCAATGAAATGACCAAGGACTTATTTCTCTCCAAAATATGATTTATGGGAAATTTTGATCATTTTCCACCGAGTGTTTTGATGAAACCCACTATGAAAACAAAAAAATGCACAAAATACACAAAATACCACTTTTCCCTTTCGACACAATGAAAACACTGAAGATATCCAACATGTTCTTAAACGGTTTAAAATTTGACTTTTGACCCTTCTTTCACATCCCCAGGCACTGACATCACGGGAGTCAAGCTCGCGGACGCAGGCCGCTGCTTGGCCGACACCGTCAGGAAGTACATGTACGACCTGGAAGTAGACGACGGACTGGGGTCGTTGGGCTACGACTCTTCGGACATCCCCGGGTTAGTCAAAGGCACACTGCCACAGGTAAGTTTGATGTCCGGATTGAGTATTTCAATTTGAGTATGATGTTTTATAACATTGTATTACCATTTTTTATTGGTTGGTTTCACTGTATACCATTCAGTTTCAATTAAATTAAATTCAATTTTATTTTATTCTAAAAAAAAAAACTGGAAAATGTTATAATTAAACCACCTTAAATGCATTGTTTAACAATGTTTAATCTGAGATGTATGGCCCTACGTGTTATCAGTGACTGTGATATGGTGTAATATTGAAGCCCTAACAAAATTGCGCTTCAAAATGATCATGAATTGCCCCCCAAAAAGTAGAAATCTTTGAGTGACTAGTTTTAATATACACATTTTCTCCAATATTCTCCAATGCTGATTTCCAATCATACATATCTTGATAATCAGATAGGCGATCGGCTTGTAAAAGTCTTGGGATTCCTGACTGACCTAAAGGTTTATAATTATGATTGCAGCATGAGCTAAGTCCAGGATTTTGTTTCAGAATCCGAGGCAATGTTACTGAGTCGCTATAATGAAAAGAAGAGCAAACATGTAAGAGAAAAACGCTACCTAAGGGCAAATTATGAAAATGGAAGGGTCAGCGATAAAGAGAAAAAAGCCTTATAAGATGTTGGCCCCAAATAAAGATATAATCATATCTTTGCGTTGTGATATTATAATAGCTTTCCTGATTGCCAATGCACTTCATTATTTAATAGTAACATAGTATCTTGTCATCAATGAGGTCAACCATATTTTAAATTATTATGCTGTATACGCAGTGAAGCAGAATTCATAAATATTGCCTGTACTGTATATTGAGATGCATAGACAATTTTTTTAGTTTTAAGGTTGCAGTTCTTATTTAAATTTTAATTCTCATCACTGTCTTATTCTCTCCCCCATTTTTCCAATCCCTCCAACATCCTCTGTCTCTGTCACCCACATCTTCCATTCTCTCTGTTTCTCTTTCTCTCTCTCTCTCTCTTCTCGGTGTACTCTCTATCTCTCCCCCTCTGACTCATTTCCTGTTCTCTCTTTTCTATCCCTTGTTTCACTATCACTTTTTGTTTTCTCTCTATCCCTCCCCCCCTTTCTCTCTCTCTCTCCCTCTCTCTTTCTATATTCCTCCCTCTTTATCTCTGTTCTTCTCTCACTCATTCTCTTTCTTTCTCTCTCTCTCTCTCTCTCTCTCCTATGCATCCTCTCCCCCTCCCTCCCTCTTACCCCATGTCTGCCTGTCCTGTTTTCACTCTACCTCTGCCCCCTCTCTCCCCCTCCCCCTTCCCCTGTCCCTCTCTCTCTCTCTCTCTCTCTCTCTCTCTCTCTTCCATGCCCTCTCTCCCTCTCTCGCTCTCTCCCTCCCTTTCCCTACCACTCTGTCTTCCCCCCACCGTTCATGTATACAGCACCGTGTGACCAAGCTTGCACCCCGCCCTCAGAGCGAGGAAGACCTTGCATCCATGTTTGAGAGTTCCATGAAAGTTTATTAATGGAACGTGGCCTTCGTCGTCCTTGTGTGCTGCAACTCAAGATCCAGAGTAATGGATAAATTTCCTCCTTTATATTTAAAGGGAACAAGTCACCAAACAATATTTCGGCCAGATACTTGGTGATTTTGTACAAGCATACTGGCCAACGTTATTCTTTGTAGGTGATTCGTTCCCTTTAAATCTATCCATTCATTCTGTTGGAATTTATCTTGAGGTATTCAAAAAGAAAATGAAATATTCAATGAATGATCATTTGTTATTTCATCTGGCTAAATCAGAGTTCAATCAGTTTTTATATTTATCACACGGCCAGTATTATCCAATATGTATGATTATGAAAGTAATAACTTGGTACATTTCGTACATTTACTTGTGTGCCTCGTATCAATACTTCAGGGCAGAAAATATTGCAGAAACGTAAGCTTAATTTTTAAAGATTTTGGCAACTGTTATGTGAATCCACTTCCTTCATTCGCACAAAATGGTTAAATATCCATTATATGCATTACATTTTGTATTCTTTGCTAATGATCCAATGACAATCGAAAATTAGAATGATTGTTTATAGAACTACTCAAGTAATGAAGATATAATGAAATTGAAACTACTTTTGAAAGTTTGGTGCTAAAATGGCATGCACATTTTCATTGATCAGTAATTTTCATAATGTAGCCATTATTCTTGTGTTTCTTTATTTTTTCATTTGAATTTCAAAATTGGTTTACTGCTCAGCATTTAAAATCATGGTAATAAGACATGTTTTCTACTCAAGACAAGATGTTCATTTGATTATGTAACTAATAATTTAATCAGCTATAATTCCAAAACCATTGTGATATAGATAGAATTTTTATGATATATATATATTTTTTGATGATGATGATGATGATGATGATGATGATTATGATGATGATGATGATGATGACGATGATGATGATGATGATAATGATGAATGTGATGACGGCAACAATATTAATTATGATTCATAGAGTGATAATATTGTTTACCATGAGAATCATTTCAATGGTAGAGTTGATGAAACAAACAATCATGGCAATAATGGTTATTATTCAAAGTCACTTGTTACAATGATTTAGTAGAGGGGCTGTCTGACGGCATATGTTCAAACTAAATGCAGTATGAATACATGCATTGCAAAGCCATTTAAAGTTTATTTTTATACATATTTTTATGGCTGAGCCTTCTACATCTTATATTCTAATTTTCTCTGCCAGGTTGATGTGAAATTTTATTACATGTCCTTTCTGGGTGCTATATAAAATGGACTTTACATTTGTAATTTTTTTTTGTTCTCCATTGTTGCCTGTGCCAAATGTTTGTGATTATCAAAATGATGTATGAGATATATTTTTGTAAAAGCAAACGATGATGATGAAATTGTATACCGTCCTAAAGAACCCTATTATGTATGTGATTCAATTGCGGTTGATTATTACAGATTTTTAAGCAAAGAAAATTTGCTGTTCTCGTTCCTTTTGTAAATGGACTTTGTTCTTTGACTCTGAAGATGGAATTGTTCTGTGATATGCAGTTATCTTAGTAGAGTGCTAAAGTCCAAGAGATATGAAGTTGACTGATACTGCAGAGTTTATTTGCGTGTGTGGTGGTATGTGAGAGATGCACAGAGAGAGAGGGGGAGAAGAGGGATACTATAGTAGCATTGAAAGAAGAGGTAGATATATAGGGGAAGATCTAGAGGGAGACTGATGAGACAAACAAAGCGGTTGCCATTTTTCAAAAGGTAGAGGGGGGTCGGGTTGAGAAGTGTTAAGAAATAGGATACATATGTTTTGGAAAGAAGAAGAAGGGGCGAGGCATCAGTTGGGGAGGGGATGTAACATAAGCGTCACAGAAGAGGGGGTGAAAAATCCATTACAAATATTCTTTCGGAAAATTTGGGATATGCATAGGTTGTCGGACAGCACGAAAATTGTTTTAGCTTTCTGTTTTCTATTTGATTTTATCAAGAAGATTTCTAAACACCTGTCAACACATTTTGAAAATATGGTACAGTGTTACATTGCATTCGACGGACGATTCCGTCAAATGTTTCTATATAGTACGACACAAGACTTTGATCGCTATCAAAAATGACAAATCTTGTGGTGTGACCATTGATAAATGTCGGTGATATGAGGAAGCCTCATAATACCATTAAACAAGAGATTCAATTTTGGAATAAAATAAATGAATTAAAAAATAAAAAAAATAAAAAAAAAAAATCCTTTTTCAACTTTTTATTTATTTATTCCCCTATTTATTGAATGTATCATTAATCAATTCATATGATATGTTCAGGTGCCCTCTGTTTTTACAAGCTTAAGGTCTAATTTCATTTAATATTTTGCCAATTTATGTTTATATGACTGTTATATGTTGTTTTTTGTTATATATGTCGGATTATAAACAAATTGAAAAAGAAATTGAAATCGAGGAAAAAATATTCATTTATTTATATTATTTTATTTACTAATTATCGTTTTAGGCATACGAGACACATTGCACGAACTCGCCCGATAAATGTTTCCAAAGTTATCTCCACACAAAGAAATAAGAAACAGGAATGAATTGATTACGTTAAACTCTGTATATTTCATAATCAAAAATATAATATAGACATGTACAATACAACCAAATCATTATTCAATAAGCAACGCCCATGAAGTAAACAAATATTTTCAAACTTATAGATACTTAAACCAAGTCCCTATATAGCGCCCGGCTACAGTGGTGGATGAATATATGTGTCTGTTGTATTTCAAATACCAGAATGCAGGCTGCATGTAGTCGTTGTTGCCGTGTTGGACGTTAGATCGGTCGATATCCACTATTAATTATAGCTGCATGTATCATATCGAAACTTGATCGCAAAATTTGCAAAAAATCAACCTTTTGCAATTTCAATCCTTGTGATGCTACACCTATTGAAATGTGCGAACGCGTCAATGACACATTATGTAATCATTAACATGATGTCTATAAGCAATCTTGAAAAGGTTCGGAAATCGTGTTTTGAAAACAAGTTCATGTTACATTAGTTCAAAAGCATTACACCTCGTACGCATTTTAACCGTTGCGGTCCATAATACCAACGCCAGCGGACACTCGTAGCTCTTTTGTACAAAATACCCTTTTCTGTTCATTGGAATGTTTATAGTGATATGTCAATATAGTTAAAAAGCACAACAACAATGGCCTAAAACGTTCCTTTAGGCGTGAAACGTACTCTACTTCTCCAGTCGGCATATAAAGTACAGTTCACGTTTTGGAGAAAGCAAATATTTCAAATCCATGTCATTTATTCAACATTATTACGAATTGACTACACTTTAAACTCTCTTATAGAAATCTTGTAAAAGAATTTACCAATATACACATCTATTTAATTCAATCATGTCTGTATCATTGAAGATAAATGTGTGTTTATTTTGAGATAATCTTTTGTGACAATGTGAGTTGCAAATAAAATTCATTTTAAAACAAATTTAATAAACACATCAAAGTTCTGTACATGATACCCACTTTCTCTTTACTGTAATGCTTGTGGTGTAGCACCAAACGCAGGTCTAAAACGTTTTTGAAACACTGCAACATTTGCACGTTTAACCTTTTGGAGAAAATAAATATTTCACCTCGTATTTATTTTATTGTCCTTTCTGTTTTGCCTCCGTGTGAACTTTGGACTAATTTGGGCGTTCCTAAATGACATCTTTAAAAAGGTTAAGATGCAACATTGTGTTAAGATAATGGTAGAGTATATCTACATAATTTCTAAATTTTAGTTTTGTTTAGTTTAGTGGTGGTTATTTTACCCGACTGCCAAGAAAGCATAAATGCCTGTGAGTAAGCAACCAGAGGACCGACTGCTTTAGGTCCTCTCTTTAGGTCCTCTCTTTAGGTCCTCTCCTGTTCTTTATTTTTCTTTACTGTTTATGTGGTACGTAAAAAGAATTTCTTCAAATCAATACATCCATGTTCTTTTCTATTTTTCTATTAAGCTGCTGCAACAGTACTGTGAAATGCAGGATCAGATTTTTTTTTAATAATGTAAACAAACATTGATGCTTGAATTATGATTATTTAATTAAAAAAACACAGAACGAACAATAATGACGAGCTATTGTATTGACCAGAGAGATTCATCACACCAGCATAACACGGTGAATATGGTTTTTATTGTATATCGCCAGTTTCAAATTGAAAGGAAAATTGCACATATCATAACATTCATGTTCAAAGCTAACACAGCATTTCTTTGATATCATTGATATACATTTGGAATGACGTCGAAGTGATTAATGTGACAATTATAATGCTTACTGTAATATTAATTTTATATTGCGCACATATACATCCAATGGGATGCTCAAGGCGTTTACATAGTACCAAATATTGCCATGGCTTTAGCCCAGCTGCCCTAAGTTGCTGAAACATTCCATTCCTACCAGGTACCCATTTACTACACCTGAGTGGAGAGAGGCAAATGTAATGGGACTCGTACCGAAAACCATGATAATCACAGTCTGGTGAGGTATATTAGCTAAACTACGACAAATTAAAGCATAATTAGAATGTGCACTGTACATTGTGATTTCAACACCAATACATTCCAAAGAAATACATTAATAATTTTTTATTCGTGCTAACATGATGAAACGATTCATTTTAATAAAAATATATATTTAAACAAATATCCCCTTTTATATGGTGTGTAATACATCAACGATGTCTCTAAGCACTTTACAGATGTATTATTACCCCAGTCATCGGATTCAGGTTTGCTCGCACACAATGTATGCACATTCTCCACTCCCTGGGGAGCATTCCAGCAACGCGTCATTTTACCGACGCACACAATGTTGATCAAACTACATTAACTTTCACATCCTATACCGGGTACCCATTTAACACATGGGTGGAGAGTGGCAAATTTAGATTAACGTCTTGCCAATGGACGTCAGTGTCAGGCTGGGATTTGAACCCCGTACCTTGTGACCTGTAGTCGGGTGACTTATCCACTAGACCACAACACCTCTACCTATTAAGTCTTCAAGATAAATATACTGACTGAGCTGACTATTGTCATAAAGTGAGACCTGTCATATACTCTTACACTGGCTAATGAACAATAATTATAGAGTATCAAGGTTTGAAAACAATTCAAAGAGAGAGAGAGAGAGAGAGAGAGAGAGAGAGAGAGAGAGGGGGGGGGGAAGAAAAAAGGGGATCATGCAAAGATGAGGAGGGCGAAGGGGCACAGTGTGTTTATAAAATGCTTGTCAGCCAATTAAAAAAGAACGCTGACTACTAAAAAAATATGGAGGTTATCAATTTTTTTTATAATGTGTAAACATTTCTGATAAGCAAAACAAACCAAACGATAATTATCCTGCGAGGGAGGTACATGGCTTTATACAAGTACTGGCTTGTGGCTGGGCGCCGATCGTCCAAATTCGTGTACTTTTTTAAATTATATAATACCTTTGCATATATATATCATTAGATTGTTAAGGTTGACAAAGACAGAGGAAGACAGAGACAATAATGGGATGGAGAGAGAGAGAGAGAGAGAGAGAGAGAGAGAGAGAGAGAGAGAGAGAGAGAGAGAGAGAAAGAGACGGAGAGAGAGAAAGAGAGAGAGAGAGATAGAAAGAGAGAGAGAGATACAGGGGAGAGACAGGGGAGAGATAGATAGAGACAGGCAGAGACAGACAGGCATCGAAAATCCATAAATTGTTTTAAAATATACTTCATATCATTCTGAAAAAACAGTCAATAGGTACACATAATATTAGACTGAGCCTACATAACTATAATATGCTATTCATCGTCTTTCATTTCTTTCCTTTATTCTTCTTTTTCAAGACGCCCTCTTCGTGCGATGGTTGCCATCGTAGATCCCTTTCGAGGAATGCTTGTCGCCACGGTAACGAGTCGTAGTTGGTAATGTCTCCTCCGAACGTGTCAGGGAGGATGGAGGGTGAGAGGTATTCATGAAGGGTTTCCATGTTCTGACCGTGTAGCCGGACCTAGGTTTCCATTACAGACAAATAGAGAGAGAGAGAACAAAAAATAATGATGATAGTAATGATGATACAAAATGATGATTTATAAAGTACATTTTCCATATACATGTTTAAATGTGCTTTACAAGAAGAAGTGAGTTTTGAGATGTTTTTTAAAGGTATTGAGAGATTGCTGGTTCCGAAGAGATTTGGGTAGGTTGTTCCGCAGTTTGGGAGCAGCATTAATTTTGTGATTGCTCTGTCACCAAGACTAGTGTGGGTAGCATCATGGGAGACGGATGGTTCAGCATAAATAATGACGATAATGATGGTGATAAAATAATAATGAGAATAAATAAGGAGGGGAAGAAAAAGATTAAGACGGTGAAGAAGAAGCCCTTGCCATTCAATTAAAACATAATAATATAGGTATATACAGAGATGCTCCACGGTCCGGGGGTGGAGGCATAAGCCACATCATAATAATATCCCCTTCTTCTTTACTATCTTTAGCGAATTTCATATCATGCGTTCCAAATGACTGTGGATATCATTACTCCACCTTTAGTTCCGGCAATCTTAGCGCCAGTACATTCCTACCAGCTACCAAATTACTACTCCTGGGTGGAGCATGGCAAATATAAATTGATGTCTATCCATAGGAATTTAGTGTTGTTACCGGGATTCAAACCCCGTACCATTTGGTTCAAAGTCCGAAGAATTATCCACTAGACCAAAAACACATTTACAGACATACTGATATTAGTGGGTGTAAATAAAATCTTACCCGTTTTCTGATCTTTTCTTGCATGAAAGGTTTGATTATAGTGAATGCTCCATCGAAGAGTAGACTCTCATTGATGAAGTGAATGCCTTGCACTCTGACCGGTACACAGTTCTGATCACGGTTCATGGGATAAACAAAAAGAGATAATATCGATTATAACTCATGAAGAAAAAAACCCATATATTATCGATGTGTACTACATTGATACTTTGATAGTCATTTCATGATTTTTGATATGCACATTATTATTTTTATTCTTATTCTTATTCTTATTCGTTTTCGTTTTCGTTTTCGTTTTCGTTTTCTTTCTCTTTCTTTTCTTTTGTTTCTCCTCCTTTTCCTTCCTTTCTTCTTTTTTTTTCTGTCGCTTTAGTCATTCTTCCCATCCTATTCATTCTACCTTTCCCCCTTTTTTCCTCTCTCTCTCTTCTCTCTCCTCCATTCATCGTTATTTATCGTTATTTTATCTAAATGCTACTTCTAACCCTTCCCATCTATTTCTTAACATTATCATTAGAATAATGATAATAATTGTAATAATGAAATGATAATAATAATGATAATATTTATTTCAAAAATCCTCATCATCACCCTCATCATTATCAGCATTATTATAATCATCACAATCATCGTCATCATTATCATCATTATCATCACCATCACTAGCATCAGCGTCATCATCACCATTTTATCTAACCTGAAAAATGGAAGTGAGTTTCCTGGCAACGGATGGGGTTAAACACGTGACCTGAGATAAATTGACCCCTTCGAGATCGAAGAGGAGGATGACGCCGTTGATTTGGGCAGCTTCGTCTTCTACGAGCTGGTCGATGACCATGAAGAGGGCAAGGGCGATGTCAGTGATGGGGTACAACCTCGGATCCCAATGACCTGATAGCAGAGAACGACAACTTTAATAAACATATTTTTTATTAAGACAACAATTTTCATCCTACCTATATAATCGAATGTAATGAAAGAACATAAAGAAAGTATTCTTTATCTTGTATCATGCTATACGGATGCTAAGAAAGAGGGCTGTTTCTATGAATAAACTATTGCTTGGTGATAGCTATATAGCCCCACAATCAAACGTATTCTAAAATTAAAATTTGAGTTTGGATAATCAGATTTCAGCGCCATCATGGACTTCCAGGGGGATACTCATTGAATAAAGTCATTAATGTAAATATTTAAACAGCTCATACTTGATTATTGGTATCTTCATTGCCTTTCGTAAATGATACATGTATCATGCTTGATGGTCGTCATTTTATGAAAATTAAGGTATCCACCATTTTATCTTTACCTGTATACAAAAACATGCAAACTACTGTATTGAGTTATTTGAATGATTTCATATTTCCTATTTGCCATAATAACCAAATTAGTGGCATTGACGATTCCAATTCATCTGAAAGGGCGTTATGCGACATATATACTTGCTAATCAATTCAAATTGAATCATTAATTCAAATTAATGAGTTGATGAGACCAGGGAAGGTTTTAACAGTAGCTAAACGACGTCTTAATCTTGTCATTATGAGTGTCAGTGGCACTGGTATGCATAATTATAATTTATCTCACATTTTTCCACCCATCAGAGACGTACCCACAAATTAACAATTCAAGAGGGGGCGAAATCCCCCTCTCAGATTGGGGAGGGGGAGTTATAATGTCTGAGCAGCTCTGCATGATGTTGCAAGATGAATTGTTTCCCTCTATCCCTCTACCCCCCCCCCCCCTCCCCCCATTTGAAAGCCCAAGGGTGGAAGATACCCAATTGCGCAGCTCTGTACCAAAAATGAACTTTGGTTGCCTCTTGATTCGTCGGTTTTATGAAGTAAAACCATGAGAAAAAAAACCTGTCACTCTGGTGACACTGACAGGACAAATATGAGTATGTAAACATTCAGTCTGAAAAGAACCTTTACATGCTGTGAGACCATGCAAAGCGCCCCATTCATTACAAATCAAACACATGTGCCTTTTTTTTTGTTTTTGTTGGACACACGATTTGATGAAGGAATATCACAATACATTACAGATATCAAGATATTATTTTCCTTCGCAACCACACGAGCCTCCCTGATACATCCATATTACATCCTTTCCAACAAAGTGAAAAAAGGTAGTACGCGTCGTGTTTCCGAAGGTTCCATTCTGAAAATCCTATTATTATCAACCTTATTTCATTTTACGGAATTTATGATCCCCTTGTAAAGGAAATTTGTGTTTCGGAATAATGAAACTTCGGGGAAAAAACGCGTAACCCCTAACAATAATCATCCTTCAAATGTATTCATCATTAAACTTATACGATAGAGGATTAATTGGTCGGGGAACCTGTCGTGCATCATGTGAATATAATTGTAAAACTAATCAGGGGCGGATCCAAAATTTTGTTACAATGGGGCGGGGCCACAATTCTGGGGAAGGGGTGACAGCAAATTTCTGAAGAAGATTTTTTTTTTTTTTTTTTTTTTTGAAGTTAGGTTTGAAAATTTGAAAAATGGGGTGACGCTCAATCTTTTCTTTCTTGTTGTCGTTATGTTTGTGTATCAAAGGTATGTCACATGGGTTTTAAGAAGGGTCACAAGCGGTTGTGCCCCTTAAATTTGGCACTATTTAAAATGGTTATGCAAATTGCATCTGTATAATATACATGATTTATAAGTATCTGAACATCGGTGTTCCTTCATTGAATAGGATATAGGTATGATTTACTGGCGTAGCGTGGGTTATTGCTGTGGGGGCACCACCACCATGGGGGAGGGGAATCTCACTTCACTGTTATGCGAATCGACAACGTTATTGATTGGGGGAATGGCGCGGGAGGGGATTGATGAGTCTTGTTTGCTGGTTCCCTTCTTCCTCCCCCCCCCCCCCCCTCTCTCTCTCTCTCTCTCTCTCTCTCTTTCTCTCTTTCTCTCTTTTTTTCTCTCTCTCTTTCTCCTCCACACCCTTCTCTTCTTCTTCTTTTTCTTCTCCTTCTTTTTTTTTCTCCTTCTTCTTTTTCTTCTCCTTCTTCTGTTCCTTCTTCTTCTTCTTCTTTTTCCCCTTTAAACACATATGATTGGGGTCACAAGCCCCTGGGCTTCCTTTATTTAACGATATACGCCACCAGTGCGAATGGCGAATGGTAAATGTATTCTTGGACGGAGAACACAATCTACATTTGTTCTTATAGATTGCTATGAAGCTCCATTTGGCGTTGTTTGCTCGATCAAAGTCCAACTGAAATGTAATCACGTCACAACATCGCCCGTCTGTTTAAATTTAGATTAGAAGTGAATTCTGTCCTTAATTTATATTAGAAATTAAACTGAGACATATCAAATACCATGCAGCTATACAGGTGTGTTGTATACCTATGCAGCTCGTGATCATTTATGAATGGTCACAACACTGACTTATTCTTTTTTGAAACTCCTATCATAACCCATCATTCTTTTAAAGAGACATTTTCATCTAAAAAAAAACAACGACACACATTTCAGTGGATTAAATTCAACCAGATAAGGACATTAATAATGCACCGATTTGAGAGATCAGATTTCTTGCTTCTGGAAAGTTCTGGTTTTAAAGGGGGTGGGGTCCCCCTCCCAATATATACATATATATTCTTTTTAAATGAAAACCTCTTCATTTCTTGCTTTTGTTTGGGGTTTGTTTCGTGGGTGTGTATGTATTTTCTTTTTACAATGTGTACATTGTACAAAGTCCGTCTTGCAGCTAGATACATTCACTGCAAGTCATATACATATCGGATGAGTCAATATCTATTTTTATATCACTACTGAAATGGAATTACGTGCATACTCAAGTACATCGTTCAACAGTAATACATCAATCGTATTAATCGTATGTACTTCCTTATATACTCGTAACGAGGTGTCGAGGAAAATATCAATAATGATGATGATAATGATAATACTCATAATAATAACAGTAGTATTAAAAATTATAAAAATAATATCAATAATAATGATGATTATGATAATAAGTATAATAATATTACAATAAAAGCTTATCATATTGTTATTATATTATGATCTTTTTAAGGTACAACTCAATTGATGAGGAACTTTATCAGAAATGAAGGTAGTGATCAGCTAAGAGAATGTTTTTGCCACGAATGTTAATTCACTTAGCCTAATGATCATTTAACGAATTATCATTTTTTTTGGCTAAATAAAGTATAGTGATAATAAAATTCTCATTCTTCTTTCCTCATTTCCTGATGGTGTGATATAACAAATTTTCTTTTGTTTTGTTTTGTTTATCATGTTTTTTTAAAGACCCTTTTCGTATTTAACTTTGCTTGATTTAGCCATAAGCACAAAACATGTAATAATCACATATTTTATCAATAAATTGTCAGACATTTTTATATATTTTTCAATATTGTGTTCATTTTTGAGGGGCAATTGAGAGGAGGGGAACATCGGGCTTACTCGATGAAGGAAATAAGACTTCACAAGGTCAATGATAAGGGGTGGGGTATAGGGGGTCATTATTATCTTCTTTTCTACGCCCCCCCCCCTTCTGCAATCGGACCGAGGGCACTTCCCTACCGTAGCTATTGTCACATGCAGCCTCTCGTTCATGATACATGTTTGTATCACATTGGATGGATGTTAATTTTATTATCCTATCCCAGTCTTGGGCAAACATATCATTATTATATAACGTCATGACGTTATCTGTTTGTACCTCGCCTTACCTGTCTTCATGGCTACTATATGCCTTCCTTCTTTATCGGTAGACTCCAGCACATACGGGTACCCATCGTCCAAAACGTGTTTGATACCAGTGGGATGGTACTTCTCAAAAAAGTCCGGGTGCTTCACGTGCAGTTCGTAGTACTTCACAATCGATTTGAAGGCGCGATCCACCTCAAACTTTCTGGCGCGTAAAAAGCGGATCAAAAATCTCGAATCGGTATTGAACACGATACCCTTTTTCTCGTCCATGCGTTCCCTGAGCTTTTGTAGCGCACTCTCCCTCACGCTTGGCGTCTCTCCTAGTTCAAGCTCGGCCTTTTTCTTCAAACCTTCACTCATAGTCCATTCGTAAGACGCCATTTCGATATTGTCTTCAGATAATCGTGAAGTCGATCATCAAAATATATCAAGCGATTGAGGCGCCATCGGAAATTTCACATCAGACATGGACATCGTCTGTATAACCATTTCTTTCTGTCAAGCACGCATTTAATTGGATGATACCAGTCAATAACAGTTGAATTCCTTAGCTATGTCTGCATTCAAGATGGATTTAGCCTATACATTCACTGCTGTATCACTCGGGTCCGGTGTAATAATTAACGCCGGTTATATGGCTTCAAGAGCCTTTTCATTACATAGGGAGTTGGAATCATAAAGTCCAACCCGATCAATCATTATCTCAGCCAGCGCTAATTATACATTTGCAGTTACACACTCCGTTGATAAGAATTAGACCTCCGTCACACCGCACCAAACCTACTCCACACGGACCGATCCTTGTCCATTCGTGCAGGTGCAAATTCTTGATCGGCGTGCTGTCGTCCTGGCGTCATTCGTATCGGTGTGGCAGGGGTATGAGACGTGCCGGTGTCACCCTCCCGAATTATACAAATACTTGACCCGAATCAGCTGATTAACGTGTATTGTGAAATGTTATAAGGTTTGGGAATGATTTTTTTTTTCTTCCTCCATCACTCGGGTAAAATCAGGAAATCAAATCGCAGATCATAATTTGTTATCGTTTAAAGCTTATCTGTCATAGTTTACAGGAGGGATTAGACCGCCCTACAAGGTCACTGGACAGGTGGTTATCTCATCAACTCAGCTCTTAGTTAACATACGAAAAAGAGGATCATGGGGGACCAATGGTCACCGATTAAGCATTGTTTGTTATATAGAGGGCGCAAGTAGCTACAAGTAGTGCAGTGGGCCTTTAAGCGCTAAAAAGGTTGATATGGTGTGTATAGGTAAACCGTATAGTCGGATGCCATACGAAGAAGTAAAGAGGGGGTGTGTGCAGGACTGGGTGTGTGTGTGTGTGTGTGTGAGAGAGAGAGAGAGAGAGAGAGAGAGAGAGAGAGAGAGTGAGAGAGAGAGAGAGAGAGAGAGAGAGAGGGGGGAGGGGTTTAGCCCTAAGCCTTAATAATGTATGTTATTTTTATTATTAGAACAAATTTAGTGATTTTATTCCATTATTCTCCTTCTTTGTTCACTTTTTTGTGAATAATTTATTTGTGTTTTGAAAACGAAATGAAGATTTGTATTTGTATGGAATTAATTACATTGATTTTATGTAATGGTTTATTTTGAATGAAATCTCGTATTAAAAGAAATATGGAAAAAAATTAATGGGTAGAGGTTTTTAGAATGAACCCGAAGAATTTTTGTATGACAATGCTAATAAAAGGACCTACTTCGTATTATTCAGAATACCGATTAGGGTCGGCAAAGGCTGTGCCCAATCCCCCCTAAATACGCCATTGCTATCATCATCATCATCAACAACAATTTACAACCCCCCTCTCTCTCTCTCTCTCCCTCTCTGTGTTTTCCTTCTTCTTTCTTTCTTTCTTTCTATCTTTCTTTCTTTCTTCTATTTTTAGCGTGTCCCTTGCCCCCGAATCTATACCACCGCTATCAAAGCAATACCAATAATGAGCGTATTCGGTAATTACAAAAGAGCATTAAAACAAAAGCTTGCCAAACAGTTTAATGATTAACTTCATGGGCCAAGAAATATATCAATACTTATAGGAATGAGTCAGAGTTAAGTTTCTATAATTATAGGCCGCCAAGACTTAAGAATCTAATTTATCACGAGGAAGACAGATTCGTGGCAGTGTAAGATGTATGATTACTATTACAATAATTGCTCCGGGTATATATCCTACACTATAAACGAATTTTTAACTGCAACAGTGGACCCGACTCTAAATATAAATCTAATCTTAAGCCTAAACATAAGTTAAAACCCAATTGCAACCCAAACCCTGACCCTATACCTTTGACAAAATAAAGCTCAGAGCAATTGTTGCCAGAGCAAGCGTCGTTTGTGTCGTTTCACAGGTTCACCTCGGTCAAACAGTGGTGCGACATCACAAGTCCTTAGGCAGAGGAATTTAACCCAGTGGCGAATCCAGCCCTGGGAAAAAACAGGTAAAAACACGTTAATTTTACCTTTATTCGTTTTTAAAAAGAAGACGGGCCCCTTCCTCTGGTTCTCAAGGGGGGGGGGGGGGGGGTGTGGGATTTTCAAATTTCCAGGGGCAAAAAGAATAAGTGCTCATACCCCACCCCCCCCCCCACCCCCCAATGAGCGAAATATCGGCGCGATTTTCGAATATTCGGGGGGCAGAAAGAAATTTAAAAATATTGCTTCTTACCCCCCCCCCCCCCTCCCCGGTTTATTCACCAGCTGACTGTTTCGCGGACAAATTTTTTCTCACGAATTGGGCCTCCTCTTTGGCCCCATCCCCCGCCGCCGGCTAGATCCGCCCCTGGTTTAACCCTTTTAGTGTCACAACCCATTTTGGCATTCCTTGTCAGTGCACGACTCTCCAAGTAAAAACGTTGGTCAATGCTGCTATACCATTATGGACTAAAATAATGTACATCGAATAACCTTTTTATAACCCTCGCCCCCTAATAAAAAAGGTAATAATAAATTAATCAATAAATGAAAAGATTAATAAATGAAAACATTTAAATGATAACCCATCAAGGTTGAAGAAATACCATTCCCTAACCCAATTTCAGAACGACTGCACTAGTGTAAGCATTTCTTTTTCAGAGGGGATGTGGCAGACAAATGAATGTAAGCATTAATTTAACTAGAGTATATATAGAGGCTCATCATATTTTCCGAATAGCTTATTACAATTTATTTTTAAAATATGTATTTTCACCTTTAAGTACCTTTTTCTTTTTCTGCGTTTGTTTATTTTGTTTCATTTTATTTTGATTTGTTTTGCCTACTTGCTATATAATTCAAACATTTCGAGGATCTTAGTAATATACTGATGCCATTTCTTAAAGATAAACTTGAGTTCTGGTAAAAAAAAGAAAATGAATTCTCACAGAATCTAACGAAACTTACACTGAATGTTCAAGATTACAAATAAATGTCAAGTGCCAAACAATTTTGGAAGAAAATGTATACTGGCTGAGTAATGAGCATAGAAAGATAAGGAAATCAGGGTAGTACTAGCCCCGACACCATGTGTGTTGTCCCATATACATCTATCTGTGTAAGTGATTGTTACTTTACCAAGACTCTGCCAAATTTATGATGATTTTGATGACTCTAGAACCTTGCATTACACAACATTACTTACATGCTATATGATCAACTTTTCTGATCTATTCCACACTTTTTCTTTCACAATGCAATCGCATTACCAGTACTCAATTTTATCTTTAATAACTGGAAATTTAAATGAAAACAAAAATCCAAATCCCCAAATTAGCTAAATTCACATATTAAATAAATCGTAAAGAATGTATTTACACCAACCCGTCACTGGACTTTCGAATGAAACCAGCTTGTTACGATCACCATATAATTATAACCTCGATCGTATTTCCGTATTTTATTGTCCATTATTAAGTAGTCATATATTACAGTAAATAACAGTAGTTGGTCTCATTACATGTACATGATTACACAAAACAAAGAAATAAAAACAAAATTAAACCCCTCAAAGGAGTTTGGAAACTCAAGTTTCATCAATTTTATCTCACTCGTCACGGGATAATTATTACTTTGTTTAATATCATTAGAAACAAAATTACTTGTTCCTCTTTAAAATAGCATATTTGTTATCATTTTGCAGCCACGGAATGAGCAGTATAGTACATCAAAATAAGGGGCAGGGTCAAAAGTAAAATGTTGCAAAGTACACTGGTAAGCACTGGTATTGTTATGCAGTGCATGCACTACGCAGCAGAATGCACAGCCGAACAAGATCAGTGCGTTTTGCAACCTTTTCACTTTAGACCTTGCCCATCATTTTGATGTAATGCTAAGTCTATGACTGAAGAATCCTAACAAATGGGGTATTATTTTAAAGAAGAATAAACACACTTTCTAATAATGCTAAACACAGCGACAATGACGCCATAACAAGAGAGATATCATCATTTAAACTTAAGTTTGCAAACTTTTTTGAGGGGTTTAGAGGAGTGGAAATCTGTCGGATGGAGTTACGTGAGGAATCACTACGTTTGGAGTGGTAATCCAAGCTCAAAAGAGTGGAATCAACTCTCAAAAGAGTTATTTAACCACTTCTTTGGAGTGTGTTTCGCTACAATTTGGATTGAATTAAACTCCAATGCCGGGAAGCGATGCCTATTGTGACTCATATACAGTGAATTCCTACTTCTCTGCATTAAGGCAATATAGATAATAATACTGATAAACATTTCAGAATAAAACAAGCAGCAACTTATAAAAAAATACACTCTGTTTTCGCTCTAGACAAGAGAAATTAACACAAAACATACAAGAGAAATTTAGGAATTTTGAAGCATCCAAAAAAAATTTAAAAATCGATTCACAATTTTACATTATTGCTCGTTAACGTTAAAAATCACATGGGCTTGTAGAGAAAGAGATATTTATAACTTACATATGAAGTTTAGCCTTGTCATAGAACTACCTTGTGAGAGAAACTGCCTGGAAGCAACTGGGAATGTTGATTGCGTTCATGAATTGCACGAATCGATCCAGGGGCGGATCCACGTAGCAATTATTCCTGCCCGCCCCCCCCCCCCCTAGCCCCGCCGGCTGGATCCGCCACTGAATCGATCCAAGTTCATAAAAAGCAGGTAACACGACTACGACAAGAATGTCAAGAAATTTACTCAAGCGTAATTTCAATACCCTATTATTTATTATACAGTCATGTATTAGAAAATATTTTCGGGTTATGCAATATCCGCCAGTGTAATGTTCGTATGTTTTAAAAGGTGATGCACAAGCTAGGTAACTGAAACTTTCTCAATTTGATATCTTGAAACGTCTTGGGGATCATTTTGAAACATCTCCTTTCAATATTTATATCTAAGCAATAGACCTTTATCAACGCGTTATCAGTTTATCTCTTATAGTGTTTACAAGTACAGGTCGAAGTTCATTTCTCAGATTAAAATGAGTTATATTGGGATAACAAATACACAGACAGAATATAACGACAGTAATGGTTGTCTCTGGTACCCATATAGGTAGGCACGTAGCCACGGGGGGGGGGGGGGGGGCATGTGCCCCCAATTTTTTCTCCAACTTGAACTTTTTTAGACCCCTCCCCAGGACGTCGACCAATTACATGTATGTGCCCCCAAACATAATTATAGGCCTATATCAAAGCTGAGAAGATTTCACAATACCTATTACCGACCCGCATTATCAGTTAAGTGTTAACAGGTATATCGATGTTCATTTCTCAGATTAAAACAAGTTATAAGGAGATGCAAATAAACAGACAGAGAATAACAACAGTAATGATTGTTTCTGGTACCATTTTCCATACATTGTTGTAACATAAAGACACAGATAGTATAGTACATAATCTTTGACACTTGGTAAACTCCATTACACTATTGAAGAACTACAACTTATTGCATATTCATAGTCAGGGTAAATCTTTGTAATTCATGTTTGCGTGAGGCTTGTCCAACATAGCATTTTAAAGTAATCAATATTATTGGGATCTCTCTTAACATAGAGCTCACTTTGACCTGACTTGAGCTTTCATGAGTTTCACCCAACAATCTAAAGCAACACTGAGACTTGCATTCAGAAAAAATTGAAATAGCCCATATAGGCCCGGTGAGCTACCAGCATCTCAGCATATGGCATATACTAAAATACGTAACACTTTAATGGGAAATTTCATAACATATGCATATAATCAATGTGTTTTTATCTAGTTTATTTAATTTGTTGGTACATCTTGGTTATCATTTATGAGTTTGCTTAAGGCCTGTCCAACATAGCAACTCATAGTAATCTTTATTCATTGGGATCTCTCCCAATATACCTTCGAGCTCACTTATCGATCATCTTTAAAAGCTTTCATGAGGTTTACCCGACAACACCGAACACCATGAGATTTGAATTCAGACAATATTGAAACAAACAATCTCAAAACACATCAGTTAAACAGCATGCCAGCGATTGCATATTTCATTATGTATAAAATTATGTATAAAAACTTACAATACAAATCAACAGGCAACTTGCAATCAATAGTGAAATTGAATATCTCTAAATATATATCAATAAAATATTCCCTGTGCATGGTTGCATATTTCATAAACGTACTCATAAAACAGAGTTTTGTTTTTTTTTGGTTATTGCATATGAAGGTAGGCCTACATCTATTTTAGCAGTAACTCGAATCGTCGGCCCTCGACGTTTCAATGTTGCATATCAGGCTTGCACGACACGTAGCATCACACGGACCCGCGTCGAATTGGCGATGGTAAAGTCTGAAGAATACGATAACGAGAGGTCAAGGGAAAAAAATCATTGACATTGTTAGAGGCAAACTTATTTAGCAATGCAATCATTAAATATGATCTAACTCATTGGACTTTTTTTCGTGTTTGTTTCCTTCCTCGTTAGGGACCGAGTTGAAAAAGACAGTGGAATATACTTGTTTGATTTCACCTATTTTCTTGTCGTCTTTGCTAGTATCAATAGCAGTGATAAATATCTTTATCATCATAATTGATTGTTGTTATTCTTCTTATTATAATCATTATTGATATTATTATTTATTATTATTATTGTTATTATCATTATAATTACTATCATTATAATTATCATCATTATTATTATCATTATTATTGTTATCACAATCATCATTATTATGATTAGGCCTATCGTTATTTTATTATTATTATTATTGTTATTATTATTATTATTGTTATCATTATTATAATGATTACTACTACTAGTACTACTACAATATCTTTCTCTTAAATTGTACCCATCACAGAATTGTTTTACTTTAATCAAATCTTTATACTACTTGAAATTTTGCTTAATCTCTCACCTAAGATTTAATCATTGACCTTCTAAATTGCCATTGCTTAAAAATGTGATATCTGGAACCACTTCTGAAAAATGAAAAAAAAAAACTAAACTAAAACGAAACATGGCTTTACAACTTGCAAGATGGTATAATGAATAGAAGGAAAACACAAATCAAAACACTTACAAACAACAACAACAACATCAACACGACCGACCAAGAAGAAAACAAGGCAAAACGATTAAAAAAGATACCTGTAAAATTGATTGAAAAGAGTTGTATTTGTCTTCATTTGACCGACGACTCTGTTCCATTCTTCGGGTTGCAATGATGTCATGTTGTAGGTTTGCTGCGAACGAACCAATAATATTACAAACAACAATTTTGGTAAATTCTGAGACATATACTATTCATCGTGACACATTATTTTTTTATCGCTGTGTGATGATTGAAATAATATATCCAGTTTGCGTTCAAAAGGAAAAGAGGGGGAAAAGTACGGGGGAAATAGGTAACATTTTCTTTAAAGCGTATCTGCCATAGTTTACAGGAGGGATTAGACTGCCCTGCAAGGTCACTGGACAGGTGGTTATCTCATCAACTCAGCTCTCAGTTAACATAAGAAAAAGAGGATCATGGGGGACCAATGGTCACCGATTAGGCATGGTTTGTTATATAGAGGGCGCAAGTAGCTACAAGTAGTGTAGTGGGCCTTTAAAGAAACTATAAAGTCCAAGTAGTATTTTGGTAACTTGTTTAGATTGAAAGAAAGAAGAAAGATGTATGGAAGGCTACTTCTGTATCATAGAAAATTATTATAGTCTCATGACGACCATACATTTATAAAACAACAGACAAACAAACAGACAAAACAAAAACCTTTAAAAAAAATCAGATAAAACAAATGGGCGTTTTCAAAGATGGAAGTGTTTAACATTGATTCATAAATACAGTCAAGAAATCTGCACTCTATGCCTATAACTGAATTGTCTTAATGCCATGGAACCTTACAATCATGGACAGAGAAACGCTGTTACCTTGGCGGTGTACTCGTGACGCCATATTGGTTTGTCCGTCAGGTTGGCCTCGGTGAGGTTGAGATAGTAGTTATCATGGTCTAGTACAGCCTGTAAATCAATGGGTAAATTGACGCATTTCTAAATGACATGGGACTTTAAACGGATTATGGACAGCCTAGAATGTATATCATAATAATACCGAGAATTGCGTTTGTGATGGACGTCGAAATTGAACATGATCGCAAAGACGTTTGAAGGAAAAAAAATCACCGTAAGTCTCGCTCAGATCAGTGCAGCGGGTAACCGCGGTGGTTAATTTTTGTTTAGGATGATGAGAGTGTGATACGCTTTATACCACTTCATAATATGTGAACATACCTTAAAGACAATTTCATTTCAGTACTCTTTTGTATATTCCATTGAAATTATTTTCGAATCATGTAATGTGGCTTTGTAATGTTCACACATTTGAATATAGGTGATGAAAAGACCATTTAAAGTGGCGTCGGTTGATTTTTGTAAAAGTTTTTGCGATCGTTCTAATGATAATTTGGCAATTGAACTAATTTCAACAATGGGCTCATTTCAGAAACTACATTTTTTTTTTTTGGGGGGGGGTGGTATATCTATAAGGCAAAATATATTTGTGGAAGTATTCGAGATGTCGCTTTTGGAATAGAAGTACCGGTAATCCTTTAAAACATCTAATCTAGATATTGCAATACCGCTTTTTTTAATATAAATCTCCATCCATAACTTCAGCAAATTATGATTAATCCAGGTACTATAGGCGTATGATGTTGCATGAAATGAAAAGAAGGCTTTTCATCGACTTTTAAATCATTACTCAAAGTCAAATATCCGATTTTATGTACCCAGGTAGAGAGGTTCTGGGCGCTCGGTGTCACGGCTCCTGCAATGTACACCGCGCTGATGGGCCGGAGGGAAGTCGTATTCTCGTAAAAATAAGTATGAACTGATCTCGATGCCTGTGCCCAAAGAATTGTCCCCGAATCGTGCTCTCGCATCTCAAATTTAGAATGAATGCAATGAGAAAGGACAAAAAAGAAAAGATGAAAAATTGTGATGGCGAAAGTGACAAATGATTGTGGATTGTGAATTTTGAAGGCGTACCCAAGTCGAATTAGCGTAGCTGCCATCCAAAGTGTAAACACGGTAACCCGGAAACTGCGTATCGGGCGTGATAGCTCCTGCCACGTAAACGACGTTGATTGGTCGGCGAGTAGTGACGTTTTCGTAAAAGAGGTGGAACTGGTCATGATGGGTGTGGCCAAAGAATTGTCCCCGGATGGTACTCTCGTATCTATAGGTGGAAGTGACGAGCAAAATTTCAAGTTCATCTCAATTATTATTTTTAAAACGGCATCGAAATGTGCATTTCAAAATATGAATTAAAGATAAGGTGAGAACCAACCTATTATGCAGAATAATCCAGTCATTTAAAAATGTATCAAAACTTCTTGGCCATACTATTTAAAGTGCTATCAAGGGGGTGAAAAGTGCTGCCTGACAGCTCATTTTTGTTATAAAACTTCGATGAATTCTCACCTCTTGACGATGAGTTCGTAGTTCTTACTCCAGACCGGTAGAGTACTACTTGGAGGAATGTGGCCCAAGATGTGCACCTTCTCCCCTGTCGCCTCGGCTGCCTGCAGGACGCCGATCAACCACTGCAGCTGACCGTCAGGGTCCGTACCGTTGATCCGCAACCACCTGGGGGAACGAGGTAACAACAAAAATAAAGACATTTCAGACTCTCTTGCCTGTCCGTACTCGGGTGTGTAAAGTGATTTCCTCTCGATTAGTGAATAATATATTACACGTTGTTAAAGAAAGCTTGTGTGGCTAAATTTAAAAGAGCAATGGAGTATAGTCACACGGATAGGTAAAAGACATTAAACAGAGTGGCAAAGACTTTCAAGAAATCAATAATTATTCACAACCGGTTTGTATACCCCAATAATGTTCCATAGGCCTAAATGTAACATTTTTGGAGATTGTAAAACTTTATGTTTTGTTAAATGTTTGTAAATGTTTGTACTTTTCTGGAGATGATAGACAAGGCTATAATGAGACCACCGAAGGTTAATTTTTCAAAAGTCTTTGTGATCCCTATACAACCTAGTCCCTTGGAAAGAATTTAGGACCGTTGGCTTGTGAACCGTGCTTCCAATTGCTTCTTGCTTCATGGACATTCAGGTAAAGATCTCTAATCAACACTTTTTCTTGTAATAACGGGCAATCTCCTCGAGTTTGCTTTATACAGTCATCAAGGCAAACAAAAAGTGGCCCCCGTATACAGTTTTTACTACACACATTCCTCTCTCTCTCTCTCTCGCTCTCGAGGGAGACAAAATGCATGGCCACTATAATAGAGAGGTGGCCACTAAGACAGTTTTGACTGTATACCAATTACCATGTTCTATGGTATGATTTAGCTATAGTTTGACGAAATGTTTCCTTCTTCTTACCAATTCTTTGGGTTTCCAGCATTCGAATTTAGAGAAACAACGCGGAGTCCTGGGTACAAAAGAACATCGTAATAACCACCACTAAATTGAAGAAAATGGAAGAAAAGAATTTGTTTTAAATACCAGGTTTCAAATATATAGAGCTGTCTACTGCCGGAATATGCCTATGGGAAAGTTTGAAAATCAGCATAATATCTAAGTGCTTGAAAATGTGTATTCACATTTCCTAAGCTTCAATACACAGCTCACATGATAGTGAAAAGTGTCGTTTTTCAGTGAATAAACCAACTTGAGACGCAAATCATTTTGTCGTTTAGCGCCACAAAAGCTATATACCATAAACTTCGTATTTCTTATCTGAAAGGTATCTTTTAGTTCGTGCATTTACATACCCCCCCCCCCCCCCCCGATATTAATTTAGGTCTCTGTACAACAATGTTTACTTGATCTGCCATACCCGCAAAAGCGTAGCATAAACGGGAAGAAGGTAAAAAACAAAATGGACGATTGCATCAACGGAATGAAAAGAAAAGTTGAAGAATATGAAGAATGAAAACATGAGATGGTGGGATTAAAAAAGAAGGAAAACAAGAAAGTAAGAAAGAAAGATAAATAAGATAGTAAGGAAGATGGATAAATAGGAAGAAAGAAAGAAAATAAGAATGAAAGAAAGAAAAAATGAAAGAAAGAAAAAGACAATCAAGCGAGAAAAAAACGATGAAACAAGAGAGTGAGATGTTCTTACCGTTGAATGGTTGCACGTGTTGTATTAGGTAGCCAATCAGCTTTGTCTATCCAAGAATCGACCATGTTGTTATATAACCACGTTTCTGATTGGTCACCCTTTATGACGTCAGTAGGTGGAAAACTGATACAAATAATTGTTTGGAAATAATCTGTTAATATTACCAGTTGAATGAAGTTCTATAAACCAATATTTAATACAGATCACTCCCATATTACAACACTTTTATAATATCTTCATAAGAAATTCAATAAAAGAAGTACTGAAAAAGTATGAATTAGAAATAAGAATGTTTGCGGAAGGAAAGGGTGGAGGTTTATAGGTGTATCACTCTTAGAATATGAATTTGGCGAACAAGATCGTGGGAACGTATTCTTTCCTATTCTCCATATACGTGTATTCACGTTGCTCTGCGATATGAGATATGATTATAATGACTCTTAACAATATCATTTAACAAAAACAAAATACTCCGCGGTTTGCCACATTACATCTGGACGAGGCCCAAATAAACCAAACTGAAATAATTAACTATTATTCTGCTTGGGTCTAATTTCATCCTATGTATTAACTTTACTTCTCATCTTGCCTTTCTCTCCTTCAATTTTCCTTCCTCTTCCCCTCTCTCTCTCTCTCTCTCTCTCTCTCTCTCTCTCTATCTATCTCCCTCTCTTGTTTCTCTCTGACCCAGCTGTAGCTGTATTCCCTCCCTCCTGTTGTTGTACATGCAACAGTATACAATGCAATTTATTTTATTCTAAGGGGTCGAATTCACAAGATCTTTGAGTAGATCTTTAATCTGATCCCCACTCAATTTATGTTATTTGTGGTGTCATCTACTGATTTTGATATGTCCACCTTTTTATATTTGTTATACATGTATGCGTTTATTCGCAATTCTATGTGTCTGTTTTTTATATTGAGTGAATAAAGAAATTGATAACGTTGCGCGTCAGTCACCTGTTTACGGGGGCACTTTCGTGGTTGCCAAGAGCGCCGTAAACTTTGACCCCAGGGAAGTATTTTAGTAAGAGGTCGGTGACGAGGTTGAAGATGCCAAGGTTATCGGATCGAGTCTGATTCCAAACATCATGGGCTGGAAGGTCACCGGTCATGTAGATCAGGTCAAGCTGAGAAAAAAAGTGTCAAAATCACAATAAAATCGGAAATAATCAAGATATTCCAACATTTTTGTGGTTGGCTGCTATCGAAGTTCATTCATTGAGAAAATTCTTGATAAGTCATCTGTAATTCATGCTCTTAATACATTTTGCGGAAATCAAAAATATGGGTCCATATACCACCTTATAGGCTTTTACATTGACGATGTCTTTAAGCGCTTTACAAAAATAGTATTACCCTGATCATTGGATTCAAGCCTGCCCGCACACAAGTCATGTTTGTACATTCTCCACTCCCTGGGGAACATTCCAGCCAGTTGCTTTTTACAGACGATCACAATGCCGGGGATCGAACCTACGACCTTCGCATCTCTAGTCAATTACTGTTCGAATCACTCGACACCTCTATTTATAGAGCTACTTTCAAATTTAAAATGACATGCAAGTTTGGTTAGATTTCTTCACCACTTTGATTTGAGGTAATATGTTTCTATATTCTTTTTGTAGCATTGTCGTAAATGTGAATGTATATAAAAATTAATACAATTTTCACTAATAGGTTAGGGCACTTTAAAAAAAACAGAAACTACATAGTTGATTAATGTTTAAGCAAGTCATAATCTACAGAGGACGGCCCATAGATAATCATTGACAATTATGACAAAAAGGGATTTAACTTTTCAACATTAAATAAAAATCTTTTATATATTTTTCTTATTCAAAAAATGTTAACATCTACTAAAGATCCAATGATCAGGAATCCTCTTTTCGAACGGGGTATCATAATTGACGTGTGGGCACACCGCCAACAAAATTATTCAAAGTCAAACGGTAATTTTTGTTCAGGAAATTTCAGAATCCAGTCCAAAATGTAAGGGTCCACAGTCCCAGGAAAAGTTTATTTCTAGTTCCTATATTTGGATAGGAAACTTGATTTTGAAAATTACTTTCTGCCATATACCATTTTTATTTATACAATATTTTATTTTTGGGCCTGTTTACGATTCAACCTAGAATGTGAAAAATTGCATAATGCCCCTTAGATTCGTTCTCTCATGACGCGAGAAACAGTGTAACGCATCATAATGTGAACGAGCCTTTCCAATTTTTCATCTCTTTTGTTGAAATGTATACTGGCAAACGCCTACGTATTGTTCCAGCAGATTTAAGCGGGCATTTGTATCATAGGAGGCGGACTTGCTAGTTGAATTAGAAAATTAAGGATTAAATGCAAATGAACAGGATCATCGTGTGAGAGAAGCTGTGGAAAGGGGTGATATGATTTTTTTTTTTTTTTGGGGGGGGGGGAGGGGGGTGCCTTACTCTTCTATCACCGATCTTCTCATTTTCACTCTTTTTCCACGTCCCCCTCCCACTTCTTAGTCATGTAATTGGGGGCAACATACTCCTGCCTCCTATAATTATGTATACCACTTGTGGAAGACATCATACCTACCTTCTGAGTCTTTGATATTTCTTCTAGAGTGTTGATCATTAGTTTCAATGAAGCATCACAACCTCGTAGATCACCCCATTTACCAGCTCCAGGAACACCGGGTGCTGTCGAAAAGAAGGAGGTGGACGAAAAAAGAAGAAGAAAGGGAGGAGGAAGAGAAGAAGGAGAAGTAGAAGAAGAACAAAATGAAAAGAATAAGGAGGAGGAAAGGGAGAAGGAGGAGGAGGAGAAGGAGGAGGAGAAGGAGGAGGAGAAAAGAGGAAAAAATAAAAAATGAAAAGTAATAATTTTGTTCACAATATCTCTCATATCTGATCCATGCAATCTATATGTATAAGTTATCTGTAATTTATCGTGTAATCATCGGCAATTTCACTTGACTTAATCCGCTCTCGTCCAGTCATTCAATTCTCATTTACTTGATACATTCGCTCTTTTGTACGTATGTCATTCATACACCTCGATGTCCCCTCTCAATCTGGCGCCGCGCGGTCTCACATTTAAAAAGTTATTCCATCCATCCACCATCCACAAAACCATATCGATTTGAATTTGGGTGTATTCGTAAACATCTCGTCCATTCTGAAATAGCGTCTGATGCCCGTTTTATATTCGAGCTGATGACGTATCTAACTACCTTGTTCAACCTGGGACTCGTTTCACAAAGCCTTTTTTCAATGACAAATGACAAAAATCAGTGACAAATCTGCCGATAACCAATCAGAAGCAAGGATTTCGGTAGCTTATAACAAATACTGTCACTTGTCACTGATCTCAAGTTTTGTGAAATGGGGCCCACGCAGGATATATTTACCTGGGGGACCGTCATTCGACCTGCAACAGATGGGTTCTCCGCAGTCGGTGTTCGTCCCTGGCTCGTACATCCGATCAATGTGAAGATCGCTGATGTGGAGAATACGGAGAGTTGGTGATCCTTGCTGCAAACAAAAAAGATAGCCATAGACCACGATTAGGATGATGATAATGATGATGATGGTGGTGATGATGATGACGACGATGATGATGATGATGACGATGATGATGATGATGATGATGATGGTGATAATGATGGTGATGATGATGATGAAGATGATTTAATACTTCATTATGCTTTATTTGCAATCTATAAAGCGAGTGTTGGAAATCAATTTAATAAAAATGTAGTGACGAGAATAATAAGCAAATATTTTTTGTTTATGTTGAAATACAAAATAGAAGTAGAGGAAAACAAAATTAAGACAACGAATTTGAATATTATTAAGTGGAAGAAGACAATTACTAATTTAAAATCTGCTATCAAGTAAATAGAGATATAATTTGATTTGACCTCATTTAGACATAAAGTGCTTTGTTATGAATATTTATGTACCATGATGTTATCCATGATTTTATCTGAATAAAGATTTATTTCCACAAAAAAAAAAAAAAAAAAATGATGATGATGATGACGATGATGATGATGATGATGATGATGATAATGATGGCGATGATGATGATGATGAAGATGATGGTGATACTGGTGACAATGTTGATGATGATGATGATGATACAGATGATGATGATTGTGGTGATCAGGGGCGGATCCAGCCGGCGCAGGGGAGGGGGCCCAATTCCTGAGAAAATATTTAGCGACGAAACAGCCGGCCGATAAAATTTGAAAAATTGCATCCCCCACCCTTTGAGCGCCAGGGGAGGAGGTCCATCTCCACAAGAAAAGGTAAAATTAACGTGTTTTTACTCGTTTTTTTTTTCCCCCAGGGGGTAAAAGTGGGGTGGTGCTCCAGCCCCCTGACCCCCTGTTTCATCCGCCGCTCCTTCAGCTGAATAGAGAGTGGCAAATGAAGGGTTGAGAGTGATGTGAATGAACCACTGCACCACGACAAAAAATCCCTAATATAAATTTCTAAAATTTGAATTTTTCTTACCTTGGGTGGATTCACTGGGGTTACTGGAGGTTTGGGGATGCTCGGAAAGGTCACGTTCCAGTCCGAGTTCGGGTCATAGGTCACTGCGCATGACTCTCCGAGCAACGTCCCACATACCTGATTTGGGCTCAAGTAATGTAAAGCCGCCACATCAACAACCTCATCCTACACAGGAAACAATGATTAAAAAGAAGAACCAAGTTTCAATGACCCTCTATTACCGTTAAAGATCATGGATTTAGTTTTGTTTATTCTATTTTTTCAATATTTTGAAGTGAAATATAATTACCTAAGTGGCCCTGAAACTGAAAGTACACGCCTCTACAATTACTAATACGGGGGGATACACTCGTGACACGTACAGAAATCATTGGTAATGATCTTGCAAAAACTAGTTTTATCCCTTCAAGAAGAAAGTAGGTGAAGTCGTGAAGACGTCTGTCGCTATTGATATCATTTGAGAAAATTATAAGTAGATAAAGTTAGTTATCTTTGCAATCATAAACGGTGCTCCGACATTTTCCCCGGTGACAGTTCAGTCAGTTATAGATGGTTAGGGTTTGAGTTGGATGGAGTGTTGGGGCCAGGGTTTATAAATCGGTTAAAGTGTTTAATGTCACTGGAGCAATGTGTCGCACATCTATGTGTACGTCATAAATATGGAAAATGCGAGCCAGAAGTTACTTGACAACGAAGAAGAAGAAGAAGAAGAAGAAGAAGAAGAAGAAGAAGAAGAAGAAGAAGAAGAAGAAGAAGAAGAAAGAAAGAAAGGAGAAAATAAAAGAAGTAGGAAGAAGAAAGAGGGGAAAAGAAGAAGGAAGTGGAGGAAGAGGAGGGAAGGAGGGGGAGGAGTAGGAAGAGAGGGTAAACGAGAGCACGAAAATAGAAAATAAGAAGAACGGGAAGAATAAGAAAAGGAAGAGGAGGAAGAAAAGGAGGAAGAAGAAGAAACCATCCCTACAAATATATAACACTAACAATAAATTGAACAAACTTAACAGATTAAACCATAGATTTTTCTTTAGGGTACCCAGTTCAATTTTTCACGACTCGCCTTAAATTCTCTGGTGATGTAATCGCACACGCGGTCGTCCTCGATCTTCAAGATCTTGCACACCTCAGCGGCGATGACGGCGATGAGGTCACGTGATTCCTCGGACATAATGACGTCATCGATGGCAGCCATGATGTCCTTGCAGAGGTCACAATCGATATCGAGATGGTAAGTGGATGCTGACTCATGTATGATGTTGTTCCTGTTCAACAAAGTCGAAGTTGAAGAGGAATTACATTTTGGTCGTTTTCTTTCTCATTATCTTTTTTTCGTTGTTTGTTTATTTGCTTGTTTGCTTGTTTATTTCTTCCTATCTCTCTACTTTTTCCCCTTTTATCTATATTTCTATGATTCTTTCTTTCTTTCTTTCTATCTTTCTTTCTCTCTATAACTACCTTTTTGTCTGTCTGATTTTTTTCTTCTATCTATCTTTTTTTTGTCTATCTATCTTTCTTTCTTTCTTGTCCTTTCACTATTCACTTCATTCAATACCATGAACGATATACATTTTATAGACTTTTTTGTAAAACTCTAATTTATTTTCTGTTCAATTTTCTCACTTCTTCTTTTTCCTAATATATTCTCTTCTTCCTATCTCTTCACGTAATCAGTTTTCTTCTGACACGAATTGATTTGCGTTTCCTTTTTTCTATCTTTTTCAACCTCAATATTAGTCTTCCTAGTTTTTTTATAAATGTATTTTTTCATCGGCATAGACATCATCATCATCATCATCATCATCAACAACATCAGTAGTCTTCATCTTCATCAAAATCATCATTTGCCATCATCATCACTATCATCATCATCTTCACCAGTCGGCATTCACTCACATGTACGTGGGATCAAGGAGCGGAGGACTCTGTGAGAGTGATGCGTTGCTATAGGCAAAGAGAAGCGGGGCGATCCGGTGCGCGAAGTAAGTCCTCGTCTCCTTTTCCAGTAGCTGCTCGTGTCTCATTGACGGAATCGGTGAGGAATTCGTCAAGCCAAGATAGCACCAGAAAGAACAGAGTAGGACCAGGAAGGTCGATCTTCTGCAAGCCATGTTGTCCTGACGACGTATAAAAGAGAATTTTTAATCTTATTTCGTGATAAACCGTATTTAATTTCAGCGTTCTAGCTATGTATGCGGCACGCGCCCACATGTAGCGAGAAAATTGCCACCCCCCCCCCCCAAAAAAAAAAGAAAGGGGGGGGGGCAGAGAAAATTAGAAGGAAAATGAAAGGGGTGGTAACTTTAAATAGGATTCAACTTTGCATTTCAAATAGAAAGACCCCCTCAGTATATCACCACTAATATATGAATGGGGATATTAACGTTGGTGAAGTACAGTTAACCCTTAGTATACCGACGCAACCGAAACAGAAACAGAAACAGAAATCTGAAGAAAAAAAATAAGGTATGTCTTCAAAAAACAATACCTTGTAGAATGTAAAAGCTATTTTATTTATTTGTGCATTTCGTGCAATCGTTAATCCACCGTTAAAAGCATGAAAGGAAAATACCATAACAAATATCTTTTTGTACAATCTGACCGACTGTAATCTAACTTTCATTCCATTTTCAAGCCATTCCAGAGATGATAAATAAAACCTTATTAGTATTATTATCATCATCATCATCATTACTATTTTCATCATCACCATGATCGTTTTAATTACCATTGTAATCATCATTATCACCTACTTTTATTCTTGTGTGGAAACCTATGTAGTGCTTCATCATCAGAAAATTCAAACAAACTATTACAACATACTAATGTTGAATAAAAATCTTTAATTACGTGTCATAAAAGTTGATTCTGTTATAATCGAAGTACTTACAATTATAGTTTACAGTAAACATGACACGCGATGGCATAGGCTAATGATGGTATGTAACTCTCCTTTAAAAAAAAATAGGTTATAGTTCACCAAGTATTGTTGTCCATTCATCAAGGAAAATTCCAGCTTACCTTCCCTTCCGGACATCCGAACAAAAATAGTGCTGGGTCAAAGGAAATTATGACAAATTAGCTCTTTGACATTCAATAGTGCGACCCAACTAATTCGTTGAATATTGCGATTTGTTGCTGGGTGCAATTTGAATAGACAATTTTCTGCATCAGTCCTTAAAAACCTGTTTATTCGCTGGGTTTTTTTTCTTTCTATTTTACACGAAGAGCTATCATTTTGTGCATTTATTGACTAATCGCTCCTACCGTGATGAGGTTCAACATAAATTAATTTCCCTATCAGTAAGTTGGAAAAAATAATTTCGTCTCATGGAATTCACTGCTGGTGCATAAAATTAATGATGATAGAGTATTCATTGGGTACAAGGAAGTAAACATTAAATTGCATGCCCATGTGCAGGAGATAGCGATTCTAAAGTGGGGCTCAAGCCCCCCCCCCCCCCCCCTCCATTTTTCCTGATTATAAATACATTTAAACGAGGCATAATATAGATTTAGAAAATGAATGACAATAAATTCTCAAAGACATAATTTAATTATGGGTTACATTTTATTACGAACATAGCCTGTTCCCAATTAAACCCGACACTGGGTCCAAGATCACATTTATAAACAAAGTACACTTTAGACCACAAACCAACATTGTTGTCAAACCCATTTTTTAACAAATCTCGCTCTCGGGATTCAATTTCATTAGCTAAATAGACTAAATACAGATATATATAATTCTTAGCATCATTTTGCCACTATAACATGTATTCATACTACGTACTCGCGTGTATATACTCGTACATAAATTGACAATACTTGTAAATATATACATGTATGTACTATAATCTACTAACATAATACTTACGGGTTACAATAATCACAGGCAAAGGCCGTTAGTTGGTAATTCACAAAGTCATGTAAAATGGCGAAGAAAATCCAAGCTGATTTAATGGAAGCGGGAAATACCGGTATATTGTCCAAGATATTAGCGAAATATTACGAGCACAATGTCGTCTGCTGGTTGTTTTGTATATTGTGCTCGTTTCGGAAGCATTGAACTAGAAACGCGTCATTCGATGATCGAGTGGGCGGGAAAAAAGTAAACAACGAAACTGATACCACGATTGCATATCTCGTGATTGCGTTGTGATATCGAAAACATAAGTATTTAGGCATGTTCTGTAAATGTTCACCGCAAGGGATGTTGAATTCTCAAATAATAATGATAAATGATCAAAAGTAACATTGAAATACTATCATAAAGCGCTATATAAGAAATATAGCTATATTATAATAAATTGTTTACATACAAAATATGCTATTTCCATTTGCTGAATATCGGTATACAGTAAGCAGCAGAAGGGGTGTGAATACTTCCAAGCAAGTAAACTTTGCAGCCACAACATTGTGACCTATCGTTCTTATTGCCATTTATAAATATTTATTCATTCATTTATTAATTGATTTAAGAATATTTCAAACTTGATGCTAATTTTCAGGAGAAAGTTTTTGTTTCTGTTCTTCAAACTACTTTTTTAACAGTGTAAAAGGAGAATGCCGACAGTGGAGTGAAACCGAAAGATAACAATATAGGGCAGGAAACTTAACCGCTTTCGCGCAGTAATCTTAATACCATATGGACATTGCACCGTCATTACGATTTATTGAGTCTATCTTTGATAATTAAACTTGCCAATAATCAACTTATGCGATATCACAAGCAAAATTATAAAGTTTGTAGTTTGATCGTTAGCTAATTATTACATGTTTTAATCACGCATGCGTCGCATTACAAATTGATTAGAACGACGACGAACTTATGGTTGGGGGCAACAAACTTAACTAGAACAATATAGTAAGCAAGGACTCGCGGACCTGAAATAAGTTTCCTCTTACTCAAAACTGATCTAGCTTCGAGTATTAATACGATAATCTCAGTTTCGAGATATTAATATTTGTAACATAAATTTCTAAAGCGCAGAAACTATAAAATATTATATTACACTTCGCTACAAGAACCGATGTGCTTAACATTAATACGGACAGTAACTAAAACATAGATGTGATTTTAGTTTTTATTTAAAATCATGTCGACTATAATAAGTAGGCCTATACTCTATTTACAACACTCCCCTCCCCTTCCTCTGAAGAAAAAAAACAAATCGATTTATGGATACGCCATAATAGGCATTTCAGTATCATTAGCGACTTGCATTATTGAAGAAATAAATACTTAAGATTTAAAACAACACTCTATGTTTATTGTTTGAATGGAGGCTGATGTACCATCTGGAATAGTAGGAAAGGACATCATAATAGGAAAGGCCCTAGGATGGCGTATTGAGGACGCTACGAGAGAGGCATTAATTCTTTATGATTTTTGCTATAGGATTGGACTTTGATTGAATATCGTTCTGCTTGTACTTTGTAGCATTAGAAGATCGCTTGCTGAGCTATGGCCGTTGATGGGATAGTCACAGTTTACTAATAAAGCGATTCGATCATATACATACTGATACATTATGTACATGAAATACAGTCTCCATGTATACTCCAAAACTAAAGCTAAATCACCGTCGAATCACCATTTTAATGGACCAAGGAAAAAAACTAGGAGTTAAATAGCAACAAGAATTGCAAGACATGTACCAGGGGTGGATCTAGGGGGCCCGGCCCCCTCCCTTGGCCAAAAGAATAGGTCCCCCAAAATAGAGATCCATCCCCCCCCCCCCCCCCCCCCCCCCCCCCCCACCCGTTTAGCACCGTAAAATAAATAGAAGTTTTGTGAGATGGGGCCCTGGATGTTCTCATTATCACATGTCTTATCAGCATAATAATTATATTGGTTGCCTACCGAATTGGGGTCCCTTCCTCGCCGCCGGCTGGTTCCGCCCCTGGTCGCCACATAAGTAATTTGCGACACAACTTAAAACATAATATCCAAGATAATTTTTTTCTTTCTTTTAAGTTTCCCATCCCAATCTAAAGCCTCAACTTGTTCTTTATGTCTACCTACATAATTAGACTGCCGACTATAAACGATAAGTATTATAATAGCTCCCATGTCGTCAGGAATAGGTCCGTTAGCTCAACAGGCAGAGCGTCGTGCTAATAACGCGAAGGTCGTGGGTTCGATCCCCACATGGACCAGATCCAGTATTTTTATATTCTATTTTATAATTATTTGAAGGAAAGCTCATTATGAATTATGAAGAATGAATGAATTAGTTCATTCACCTTACGAATAATTCTATTTTAATATTTTATAAGCAAATTTCACACATCAATACCTTGTGAGAAGGATTCCGCCGACCCCCCCCCCCCCCCCCCCCTAAAAAAAAAAATCAAAAATCAAAAAAAAAAAAAAAAAAAAATCTATTTATTGATACGCCACAACAGGAATTTCAGTATCATTAGCGACTTGCATTATTGAAGAAATAAATTGTTTGAATGAAGGCTGATGTACCACGTATTGAGGACGCTACGAAAGAGGCATTAATTCTATTAGTGTGATTCTTGCTATAGGATTGGACTTTGATTGAATATTGTTCTGCTTGTATACTTTAAAATTAGAAGATCGCTTGCTGAGCTATGGCCGTTGATGGGATAGTAACAGTTCACTGATAAAGCGGTTCGATCATACATACTAGTACTGTCAGGATACATCTGCATATAAAACATCATCTAAATGTCTACCTGTATAGTCTAAAAGCTACAACTTCGAACCACCATGTTAAAGGACCGAGGAGTGACCACTTTTTCAAAATTAACATTCTAACATGTTCGCCCCAGCACAGTACAGATTCAATCTCGCATCCTAAAAGTGTTCAATCTGGTACTTTTAAAAAGGGGTCACTCAAAGGTCATTTTGAATTGTGATAAAACATTTTAGTTTTTAGAGTGAACATGTATCTCAGTGTTTAAACCAAAAACATAAGAATTAAATAGCAAGAAAAATGCAAGACATATACCAGGGGCGCCCCCTCCCCTGGCTAAAAAATAGGTCAAAAAAAAGAGCTCCATACCCCTCCCCCCCCCCCCCCCGTTGAGCCCCCAAAATATATAGAAGTTTTGTGACATGGGGCCCTGGATGTTCTCATTATCACATAGCTAGTTGTCTTATCAGCATATTGGTCGCCTACCCCCCCCCCCCCCCCGGCTTATTCGGCCGGCTGGCTGAATCGCCGCTAAATATTTTCTTACGAATTGGGGCCACCTCCCTCGACGCCGCCCCTGGTCGCCACATAAGTAATATGCGACACAACTTAAAGATAGCCGCTGCAAAAAGGACATAATGTCCTTTTTGCAGCCAACATTAAATTCTGTATAACTTTGCAGAAATTATGAATATGTCATGTAAAATATCTGTGAAATTTAAACGTTAGCAGTGTCCTAATATTCAAATTATGCAAGGAAATCTGTTTACTTGCTAGACTTCACTGTCAGACACTATTGAGTGACTGACTTTGTGACTTTTTTTTCTTCTTTGGTAATAAGATACATAGAATGAGCTGTAAAGGGTACATGAGCATGTTTCTACATCAATAACCCACTTCTTGTAATGGCCAAAATTAAACTGATTGAATCTTTGCGCAGCATAAAACGTACGACTATTCGGTACCATGGTCTGAAAATCAGACTATTACTTACTGGCTATATAGCTCTTAAATCGATTCGACAACTAATAGTCGTTATTTTCCCACTTAAAGACATTTTCAAGCCCCCCCCCCCTTTTTTTTTAGGGAAGTTCTAAATTAGTATTTACTTTCAAATGCCGTTGGAATTTAACCTTTTCATTTTTTGGCCTGCAAATGGGATATAGTAGCTTTAAAACACAATATCCAAGATAATTTTGTTCTTTCTTTTTAGTTCCCCATCCCAATTTTAAAGCCTCAACTTGCTCTTTATTTCTACTTACATATAGAGTGCCCACTAGCGTGGAACGAGAGACGCTAAACTATAAGTATTATAATAGCTCCATCGTTGCCAGGAATAGGTCCGTTAGCTCAACAGGCAGAGCGTCGTGCTAATAACGCGAAGGTCGTGGGTTCGATCCCCACATGGACCAGATCCATTATTTTTATATTTTTATATTTCATAACTATTTGAAGGAAGGCTAAATATGAATTATGAAGAATAAATGAATTACTTCATTCACCTTACGAATAATTGTATTTCAATAGTTTAAAAGCAAATTCCACACATCAATACCTTATGCAACTATACATTCATTGTGATGCAACATATCAACTCGTTCATGAAACACTATTGTGCCTTAATGTTTTGAAATTGAAATTTATTTGAATGTGTGTGAACTAAACACTAATAATGCAAATCAACTTTTGTTTGTTTAGGCTTTTCTTTTCCAAATATAAGTGATATTTGCTTTTCCTTCTTAAAACGGCACACTCTTACGACCTGCACAACATATTATTTATATTTGTTAAAACCCTTTCAGGGAACTATATAGAATTAAATAGTCTGTACATAATTGCCATTTTAACTCCCATATCGATATCAATATACACGTATATGACAGAGGCCTAGAGAGGGAAATAGAAATCCCATCCATGCCCAAGCTTCCTATTTACTCAAATGTACCTACTCATCTGATATTTACAAGCCTTCGGATTGCATACTAATTACTTGCAAAGTAAAAGTGAAGTGTGAAATATGGTATATTGCTAGTTTTGCTAAGGAATGTAATTTGTTAATACAACAAAACTTCAAAAACCTGTGAGGGGGTAGTCGCTTGCCATCACCTTCGCCCCTCTCGTTCACTATGCTCCCTCGTCCCCCTCGCTTTGGCGTACTGATGGGGGGGGGGGGGGGTCTTGGGCCAGTTGCCCCCCTAATACAATTCAAACGTTTTTTCTCACCGTAAATTATACTTTTGTATGCGTTTATGGAAAATTTACAGTCAGGCAAAAAGTATTCTTATTAAGAAGCCCCCATGTCAGGGTCCGCCAATTTGCGGGGCTCGAGGGCTCGAGCCCCCCCCCTCACTTTTTTGAATAAGTATGTTTAAGAGAAAAAGAAAGAAAGAAAGACAAAATAGAGACCTGCCAGTGTCACAAATGAGGTATCAAA